GTATCCCAATTGCGTGGACCGATGTTCATGATGTCAATCACTGGATTGTCTGGTCCAGACTCGATTATTTACAGACCGTTGTCATATAGCTGGAATACTGCTGAGTGCGGCGTTAAACAACAAACCAACCAGAATAAATCTGTCCAATACAAGTCTTGTTAGGATAGATTGCATTCCATGTATGACACCACACCTACTCTGACATCACTATTGGAGCGCATCTCTCGAGGAAAACACGTAAAAGGACTGCTATATAGCATGTATTATACCATATCTACTTTGTAACAAGAGGGGCGGTGGGGTAGCCTAGTGGTTAAAGCTCGTCACATGAAGACCCGGGTTCAATTCCCCAAATGGGCACAAAGTGTGAAGCCCATTTCTGGTGTCCCCGCCCGGATATTCTGGAATATTGCTAAAAGCGGCATAAAACAATACTCACTGACTGTAACCCGATATCACTATTGTAACACATCTCTCCAGCAACAATACACTTACAGGAGAGCTGTATAGCACACAGCATGGATGTAATGACAATATAACAGACTTTGACAGACTTTCTAACCAACGGACTGCCAACGTCAATGTACTGAGTCTGTTTCCGGCATCCCAAAGACATCGACGCAACCAAGGTCACAAGAAAAGCCAAAGGTGAAATTATACCATTCATTTGGAAGATTTGTTGCCTCTCCTTCAGAAACCATGGGGACTGCACTAAGTTAGAAAAAGACTATACTCTGTGTCAATGAGGGAAATTAAACGACTCCAGCAGCTTTTGCTGAGTGGTGGATTTACAGAGCCCACAGTATCGACTAGAGAGTATAATTCTAGATATTGCTTTGAAACGTTTGACCAAACCAGAAACAGACTCCACTACATCAGACAAAGACCGCAATTTTTTATATTTGAAATTTGCAAACAAGGGAATTGATGCATGAAATTTATTTTACATTCTCAGACTAAGATTACTTTCCTTAAATGTCCCACAATATTTCAAATTTCAGGAACCACAAAAATATTCATTTTCCTAAACGAACACAATTTCCTCCCAGCTGTTCAGTTATAGGAACGTGTTGCAGAACGTGGACTTGGCAGCTCATGATGTAACTTCCACTACTTGTGGCTGCCAAGACTCATCATACTCTATCAACCTGCAGGTCATATAATGACAGGTGACTTCTCTATTCTGGACAATAACAACCTTCGTCAGTTATTCAAATAGGGACCAAAATACTGTGAGCAACCTCCTACCAATTGGGATCACAACTTAAAAAATCATTATGGATGCTGTCAAAGAATATGCCAAAAAATGGGCCAAAAGAAAATAGGAACCTGTTGAATGTCTTTCAGAGTGGGTTAAGTCAGTACATTATGTTGTCATGGGTAGAATGCACAAACTTAGAAAGAGGAAACAGCATTGGAATAAACCCATTCTGTCCCAGCCAGCTGTCATCCAAAGTCTGGCCGCCCTATGTCAAATAACATAACCATTACATGTAAGCATCACTACATTAGTTGTTTGACCAAAGAACTTGGTATAAGTGACACATCAAATCATGCTACCTATAACGCCAGTATGTTAACTGACGAAGACGTCTGCCAAAACCATGCATCAGTACTATCAACTTTTGACTTGACTCCAAATCCAGAAGACTTGTTTATTCCTCTTTCGTACTGGATTCCAAAGCTCCATAAAAGTCTGTACAAAGAGAGAAATATTGCTGCGTCCAGCAAATGTACCACCAAATCCCTGTCTCAAAGACTAACCATTATCCTTAATACAATCAAGGAAGGTCTTTCTGTATATTCACAGAGGGTATTTGAGACAAGTGGAATTAATATCATGTGGATTCTAAAAAACTCAAAGGATTTGCTGGACTTTTTGCAATCTCAGAAAAGAACCAAGTTCCATTCTGTCAAAACATTTGATTTTTCAACTTTGCACACCACTATCTTGCATGACGAACTAAAGGAAAAACTTTATTCCTTGATCCATGGGGCTTTTGTAATAAACGTGGTGACCACAGATACAGGTACATATCTATATTCAGAGGTACAGGACAATTTGTGAAAAATGAAAGCAAATGCCATCTGAAGTTTACAGAGAAAACAATATGTGAAATACTTGACTTCCTTATTGATAGGGGACACGGGTGGCCCAGTCGTCTAAGGCGCTGCAATTCGCTGTGCAGAGTTGCGATCCTTTGGCACGCCAGAAACCTATGGTTGTGGGTTCGAATCCAGGTTCACCCCGATTATGTTTCTAGGTTTGTCAGCACTGTAACCGTGCTCGTGGGTTTCACTGAAGTGGTAAACGCCTGAGACCTGCATCACTTCGGTCTTTCCTCCCACATTAAGCTGACACGACGTGATATAAATGGAATACTGTTAAAAGAGGCGTTAAACCCAACTCACTCACGCCTCATTGATAACATGTATGTACAATTTTGGGGTAAGACATTCAGGCAAGAAGTAGGCATCCCCTGGGGCACCAATTGTGTTCCCCTTCTTGAGGATCTGTTTCTTTAAGCATATGAAGTCAAAATAAGGTAATTTGGCCAGGAAGTTTAACTTGAGCTTCACGTATATAGATGATCTGATATCATTCAATAATAATCAAATAGCCAATTCTCTTCCACTGATTTACCCACCGGAATAAGCAATAAAGGCGACCAGTGAGACCGACTCATCTACTTCATATTTAGATCTATGCATAATGATTCAGTGACACAACACTCTCCACATGACTATGACTTCAACTTTCCGATAATCAACTTTCCCTTCATGGTGAGCAATATTCCAGCAGCTCCAACCTTTGACGTTTACATTTCACAACTTTTGAGATACCATCGAGCATGCTCTTTCTGCCAAGATTACAGGGAGTGTCACACAACTCTTGCTCAGAAGTTGTTTGATCAAGGCTACAACATTCAAGGTCTCCGCAAAGTTTTCAAAATGTTTTATCGTAGACATGTGGAAGACATTTCCAAGTCTGACGCATCAGTGACAAAAACGATGCCCGATGCAATTCCCTATTTTGACTTGCACCATGTGTTCCCATGGTTTTTCAGGTGAAGAATTGACTTGCCTTTGCATGTTTGTGACGGTTGCCACTGGTGAGCAGGATATGCTCACCTTTTTGCGAACACCTGGTATCATCACTATTTGATAGTGATTCATTAACACAATCCTGCTCATGATGTAGTCGGAATTGTACAATCCACCCTGTTTTATGCAGGGATTTCTATTGGATATGGAAAGGGTTTTGTCTCTGTACTTAATTATACCACATCTACTTAGCAACAAGGTGTAACTATGTTATCACACATCTCTCTAGCAACAATACACTTTCAAGACTGCTAGGTAGCATGTATTATACCATATCTACTTTGTAACAAGACATCACTATAGTAACACATCTCTCTAGCAACAATACACTTACAAGACTGCTACGTAGCATGTATTATACCATATCTACTTTGTAACAAGATATCACTATAGTAACACATCTCTCTAGCAACAATACACTTACAAGACTGCTACATAGCATGTATTATACCATATCTACTTTGTAACAAGACATCACTATAGTAACACATCTCTCCATATACCTTGTAACATGTTTTCTGGTTATCAACCATCAGCAATGTACCATTGAGGCTATGAATCATTGTCTGTATATACCAATGTATGTACCATGCATATTATTTCAAAATGAAACACTGGAGATTCTTCATATTTCAGTCAACTCCTGTTTGCGCTGTCAACACAGGAAGATGAGAACATACGTTGTCTTTCATTGGACTTCTCAAGTAATTCTAAATGCCATGGTACTTTGTGGTGTGTTTGTTGTTTAACGCTGCACTCAGCAGCAATCAAGCTATATGACGACACGCTATAAATAACAGTCTGGACGAGACAATCCAGTGATTGGTAGTGTCAGCAATGATTCATGCAATGACACACAATAAATTAAGTTGCCTGTCTTACAACCAGACAAGGGTACTAGGACTTATCCTAACCTTGAATCCAAAGGGGGTTTCTACGAGGTGTGAAATCTATCATTGAATATTATTGTTATTATTATCATTTTTTCCTAAAGCCAAACACAAATAATCCATTTTTGAGTAACATGCTTTTAACTGATGTGGGCGGTCAGGACATTGTTTTGATGAGATTGGAATAGGCTGATTGTGAGGTTGCCATGGTTACAGAAACAAATAATGTTTTAGTTGACAGATTAATATTGAGGTATGTGTTTGGACACATCGAGCTATTAAGTATAAACAGAGATCAATGGAATCCAACACAGGCAAAACATGTACAGCATGTCTGCCAAAATACCTGTCCAATTTCATCAAGAATGAATGACTTAGTTGTAGGGGTTACAGCTTGCAATAACCAACAAAAAGTCGCATGTTTCAGCATGAAGACCCACTCCCTGCTGGGTAGTAGAACAGTTTGCCAATGCTCCACGGCCATTTCTTAAATAACTTCTCGAACCAGGTCATTGTGACCTCAACGAAATGTTTTGCTTGTGGATATCCCAGCGCTCGCTACATTAAGTAGGTCGAAGCTTGTAGGCCAGCAGCAAGTTAAGATCTCACACCATCTCTTCTAAACTTTGAATTGTCTCCCAGATGCGTCTTGTCATGACCCTTTATAAACAGACTCCACAGGATCATCATGTCTGGAATTCGAAGGTTTTTTACGCGAAATATTTCCAAGAAAATATGTTGTCGGAGGATGGGACTGGGCATGTCAAAACTTTGTTGGCGTCACGCAATAAGTACGTTAAAGTCCGCATAAAGTGTTTGTTTGGTATTACAAGGGTAACTTTAGACAATATATACACACGTTTTAGGATACCAACAAGAGGTTAAGTGGCGTGATGGTTTATCAAACTCACAAATTCCACAAACACAAGTCCCGTGGATGGGAGGAAGTTGGGTTATGGGGGATCTGAGAAGTACGAAGAAAGAAAGTCTGGACGCGAGACTTACCTAAGTTTAGTCCAGACACGGAGCTTAATTCATTTTCCCAATTGGCCCACGAGCTTCCTGCGTTCTCACTCAGAGGCGGACTATGGTCCGAGCTCGCGCTATCCATGACTATCCGCATTGCAACATCAGGCTTGAAAAATTCCTTCGCAACTACCATCAGCCATTTTGCTTCCAACTATAATCTGTTCTAAAATGAGTGCCGTTTTGGTGCCACCGCGCAGATTGGTAAACAAGTCTTAATCTAAAGCGATAGCGGACATACAGCGTCGGCGTCTACGGTAAAATGTATGATAGATATGCGACACGACTGAAAAGTAAACTGTTAGAAAAAATGCAAGGGCACCTTCTTCGCAATAGTCGACATATATGTAAATACTTGTTGCGAGATCCTGCTTCACCAGGAGCATTAAAGCCTAACTGACATTGTTTTCCATTTTTTAAATATTTATTTTCAAATGCAAAGGTACTGCGATGTTATCTTTAATATAACATTCGGATTTGAGATCTCCGTATTCACCTGCAGGAACTGTGACGCCATGTTTGGCCTTCTCCTTGACCCATGGCAATATGGCCTCATATACCGCTAGGGAATGAGGTCATGGTTGCATGGATCTTCACACTCGGGTTATGACCTCATAGGGGCGGTGGGGTAGCCTTAGGGTAAATGATTCCGCTTGTCACGCCCAAGGCACAATCTCGTTCCCCACATGGGTACACAATATGAAGCCCATTTCTGGTGTCCCCGCCATGATATTGCTGGAATATTGCTAAAAGCGGCGTAAAACCATACTCACTCACTATGGCCGCATGGTAATTTCTTTTACCAAAACAATGGTTCGGAATTTTACTGTTTCAATTTTGAGGCTTACATTACTGACGGTATACCGAATCTTCTATTAAAAACAACAACGGTTATTTGGGGTAGATTGCAGTCACTTTCAAGATATGCTGTCAAAGGAGAATGTGCCCTCACGGCCAAGCTATACAAGACAATGGTCCCGCTCAAGCACCTTTACGGAAGTGTCACTTTAACTGTGGAAATCCGGCTGTCGAGGAGCTTGGGTCTGAATGCAGGATTGAAGGGGATAATTCCATTTACAAGGCTACAACAAACTTATTATTTGTTCGTGATGCGCCAGGGGGACTAAAGCCCAACTGAAGCCATGCGTATTGGTCGATAGAGTGAGAATACGTCCCCTTTGTGGGCATAGCGGTACACTAAATCAGCCAGGTTACGGTGACAAATTGTCTTTGTTGATCACACAACGGCTGTGACCACTCGATACACACTCCTCCCTTATAAGCTTCCTTTTGTTTTGTTTGTTTGTTGTTTAACGCCGCACACAGCAATATTCCATCCATATGACGGCGGTCTGTAAATAATCGAGTCTGGATCAGACAATCCAGTGACTGACATCATGAGCATCGATCCATGTATTTGGATTACGATGACATGCATCAACTAAGTCAGCGAGCCCGACCACTCGACCCCGTTAGTCGCCTGTTACGACAAGCATAGTCGCCTGTTACGGCAATCATGGGTTGCTGAAGACCTATTCTATCCCGAATCTTCACGGGTCGGTCCCCTAATAAGCATGGCTGTGTTATATTTAATGTATATATGTAAAACGTTTTCGACAAAGTGGGTCAGTTGACAAGAAAACGTGTTTTCATTGAAACTCGTATTCTATTTTTTTGTTAAGCAGATGGATGCGAACCCAATCTACAGCGACATTATCACTAGACGGAACCTAGCCAGACGACGATACGCATCACAGCTGCAGTTGTCTGGTTGTCAAGCATGTGCAACACGCTCCTGGACATTCTCCAGACTCATACCCAAATCGTTGTCTTTAGATAGAAAGCAAAGATATAAGAAAACGTCGCTTTGACATTTCAACTAAAGTTTCAAGTTGGCAGCAATCAGCAGATCAGGAACACTGTTGTTAGATATCACATACATGAAAACTGACAGGAGGCTTGATTGTCAGTTTTGTAATTAATTCCTCCTTTTACAGAACAGTCATGTTAGACAGTGGGGCAGTCGTGTGATTAATTCGACCTATCACAGATACCCTTCAAGATCCGGGTTACAGTTTGTCTTCAGCAACCCATGGCTGTCGAAAGAGGCGACTAACGGGATCGGGTGGTCAGGCTCGCAGACTTGGTTAATACATGATATCAGATCCAAATTACGTAGATCGATGCTCATGATGTCAATTACTGGTTTGTCTGGTCCAGACTCGATTATTTACAGACCGCCGTCATATAGCTGGATAATTGCTGAATGCGGCGTTAAACAACAAACAAACAAACAAAACGTATCACAGAACGGTTGTGATGTATAGTTGGGACTGTTGTGATACACGATACAGACCAGGTTCTGCAGGTTCTGCAGGGCCAGCCTCCCCGCAACCCCCTGACTAATACTAACTGTGCCTGCATGCACTGTGTGAAATAATTGTTCAACAGTACTACCCAACCGGGTTAGCTAGATAAGTTTACTGGCCAATTATAGATTTGTGTAGCCTTAAAAAATCTTAGTTTGACAGAAAATTCCTTTCCCGTTTTGAACTTTCATATCTGGCAGCTGAATGATTATATTAAAGCTCACTGGATAGAAAATAAAACTAGCTAGTCGGAATATCTACATTATATTTTCAATAGCAAGAAAGAAATGAAAGTAGAGAATGGGTACCTGGTCGGCGCTTATGTTGATCATTGGCTAGACTTGCACAAGTCTCTAAGACAAGTTATTAGTTCAAATCATAATTTCTGTAAATAATAAGAACAAGTTGTCCCTTCAGAGACTGGAATCTACTGTCCACATATACAGACTTGACTATTAGGATAGAATTACTACACATCCATGGAACTTTCTTTCTGTCCAGCCTTGAAGCAAGGCTACTCGTTAGCCTGCATCCACAGATGGTAAAGCTTCCCTGTACGATAGAGGTAGGGCTAATACCTTATATATACTGAACCAAATTAAAAACTTCACAATCCTAAAATTTTAACATTTTGACCAGTTATCTTTGTGGGCCCTTATTGTGTATTTAAACAGTAATGGCCACGTATTGTCTTCAGATAACACCTGTTTTTGTGCAGGTGAATCGATCAAAATCATGTGCACAGCACTATAGTGGCAAAAGTGGTTTTTCACGTGCAACTGGTCACGTGGCCATAATACCGCACGTGTTTTCAGCCATACTTGTTAGCAGTCATTAACAAAAAAAGAAAAACACAAGAAAACAAAAGTCTTTACGGCCATTTGTCATGCCACGCCTTTCAAATGTGCAACGTGAACGTGCCATCGGCATGTTGCAGACGGGAACGTCCGTAGCTGAAGTCGCAAGGACGATGGGTTGTAGTCGACGGACTGTTTATGATTTACAGACGCGTCGACAGCAAACGGGTACCACCGCTGATTGCCCTCGGCCAGGTCGACCACGTGTGACGTCACATGCAGAGGATCGTCAGATTGTCTTACGTCACCTCCGTAACCGATTTTTGACGGCTACATCAACCAGAAATGAACTGTTTAGGGGTAGACTGAGTGCGCAAACTGTTCGAAAACGTCTGAGAACTGCTCACCTTCATGAACGTTACGCCCAGTGTTGTGTACAGGAAGTTGACAGATTTCGAGGCGGAAGTGTCATGGTGTGGGGTGCTTTCTGTGGCAATGCACGTTCCAGGCTTCTTGTCATCCGTGGCAACCTCAACGCTGCTGCTTACCGCGACCAGGTACTGGCACCAGAACTTCTGCCTTTTATGGCAGCACATGGACCCGGTTTGATCTTCCAACACGACAATGCCAGACCCCACACAGCAATTTTGACAAGGAATTTCCTTCAGAATGCGGGAGTCAACATCATGGACTGGCCGTCAAGGTCTCCCGACCTCAATCCCATCGAACACGTCTGGGATGCTCTTGGCAGAAGTCTGCGCACTCTCCAGAACCAACCACAGAATTTGCAAGATCTTGGCACCATTTTGCAGCAACAATGGCGTAGTCTTCCCAATCATGTGTTCACAAGCATCACAAGGTCCATGCGGAGGCCTTATGTGGCAGTTGTCAACGCACATGGTGGCCATACACGCTACTGAACTTGTGTGTCATCAGATTCTCGTGATTGGGACTTATGATTTAAACTGTTGATGTTATTATAACAAATTATGGTTACCACCGTTAATTAAAATCCTTCTTTGGCCATTAATGATTAAAAAGTGCCTTCTCTGATACATTTGTCCGTTGTATATCATATATTGGATTACTTTGAAAAATGTGAAGTTTTTAATTTGAATCAGTATATTTATGGTGTGTGTTAATACGAACCTAGGCGACAGATTCCTTCCGTAGTGAAACAAGCCTGGCGACAGTTTCCCTGTGTGGTGTCTTATGTGGAGCAATGTCAGTGTTGGCGGGGGCTGTTGTAGATATATCTGTGGTGTCTGTCTGTGGCAGCCAGCAAATGACTGAAAGAATATGGAGTGTCCTGTGTTTTTTTGGGGTATGGTCATGGGGGGGGGGGGGGGGGGGGGGGCTGGGATTTTGTTCCTTCTTAAAAGAGAAATCAACTTTGGAAAGAATGTTTAAATATTTGTTGGGACATTAAAACATTAAGTGACAAATGCACAAGATACAAAGGCTAGTTTTAAATTCTAGGGTAAAGATATAATTTCTTTTTATCTCAAAATCATATTAACATGAACATCTAATATAAGAACTCTAATAATTCAAAGGATTGTATTGACTTGACTATGAACTACTAGAGCAAACAAAAAGCAACGTTTTCCAAAAATGGAGAAAGAGATTTCAAATTCTCGATCTGGCTTCTTACCAGGCTGTTTGTTTGGGCTTAGCTGTCGTACAAACTAAACAACATATTAGAACAACGCGCAAAACTTCTCATAAGATTTAAACTTAAGAAGCAAAACAAAAAATTAGATTGATTGAGCGAGTGAATATGGTTTTACTCCGCTTTTAGCACCAGCTCCAGAAATGGGCTTCAGACATTGCCCGCCCGTGTGGTGAATCGAAACCGGGTCTTCAGCGTAACGAGCGAACACTTTCACCACTAGGCTACCCCACCGACCCTAAACTTAGACAGACAGACATGAGACATCACTGAAAAATCTGGAAGTGTAAGAGGTTTGACATTTACATGAATATAACTATAAAAGTAACTATGAGCTCTATCGGCAGTCACCATAAGCCAGAACATTGGGATCAGGATGCGTTGACATAAACATGGAAGCAAACATATGGTGGGTGCTACTGGTACAAGGGGCGGTCGGGTCGCCTAGTGGTTAAAGCGTTCGCTCGTCACGCCTCAGACCCGGGTTCGATTCCCGACATGGGTACAATGTGTGAAGGCCATTTCTGGTGTCCCCCGCCGTGATAATGCTGGAATATTGCTAAAAGCGGCGTAAAACCATACTCACTCACTCACTCACTCACTCACTACTGGTACAAGGCATGCTTTCCCGTGTCGCGGACACGTGGTGTCATCACTGACTTTCAGTGATCCTTTCATACCCTTTTACGCCCAAAGGAACCTATTTCGCCGGATAATCGAGACTGGTTATTCTCTGGGCTTGACGTTTGCTATTTATCACGGAAAAGTCATCGCAGACCGTGTAAACATTTATGAGATTCACATTTGACACAGTTATCAAGGAGCCAGAGTTTACACACGGGCATGAGGCAAATTTAACAAATGGAGGTTTTCGGCCTTAGGGACAAAAGTGAGGTCAATCTCTTTGGAAGTATCTAAACCAAACTGATTTTATTAACAGCCCGTAAAGCTGCAATGTTGAAAATGTTCTCTCATATAACTCAAAGTCTCGCCAACTTCTAGGCGTAGTTTCAATACCGTCTTTAACCTTTTTTTGCATGTCATTAGTCCGCGAGCAAGTTCATCGAAAGAAAGAAACGTCTAGTTATTATTAAGGATTTCAATTGGCAGAACTGAAACTGCCCGCTTTGTCCAGCTTTCAAGTCCAACTTATTCTATCTCCATGTCACCTGACTTCAAAACAGTTTGTCATTGGACGGTTACATAGACTCTCTTAGATTTGAAACTAAGAGCAACTTGAAATATCTGAAAAATTGCTTTCTATCCATGTTTCGGGGCCAGTAATTTTCCAGAAGCTAGATATGTATAACGAACCATTAAACCCATGACATGATTTTTACTAAAATTGGACTTAGAACACTTTGGTTTTCAGGCGACGCTTTGTCTTTCATTTTGGAAATCACCTCGTAACAGAAATTGGGGGTCTTGACCGGAATTTCAATTTGCTGAACATTCTACACTTGTAAACAATTGTTCTCAGTGCTACATTTGCCCGCCATCATGCTACCGTCATTACTTTGCGCATGTTTATTGTGAAATCAGTATTTGTAGTGTGGAGTTCAAGGTTGAGACATTTATTGAGTCTCCAAGTGAGGAAGCAGTCAGGGTTTTCAAGATGTCAGATCTGTATTATAGCCTTGGTGCTGAGCCTTTAGTGAGAAAAAGGGACATTTAGAAACTTGCTGTGGAGGTTTGATGGAGAGGGAAATATGAATGATACATCTTTCAGAAAATGCTGAACCACATTTAGCTTGAAATGGAATTGAAATTGAAAGAATTTGAATTTCGAAAAGTGAGTGAGTGAATATGGTTTTACGCCGCTTTTGGCAATATTCCAGCAATATCACGGCGGGGGACACCAGAAATGGGCTTCACACATTGTACCCATGTCGGGAATCGAACTCGGGTCTTCGGCGTGACGAGCGAACGCTTTAACCACTAGGCTACCCCACCGCCCCCTAAAGCATGAGAAAGAGTTATGACCAGTCAGATTTGAACTTACTAGACTTTGTGACAGCTTTTACGGAATTGACTTCTGAGGGCTACTAAAGATGAAAGTGAAGATATGACGTTCTCTCAGGACAAAGTTAAATCCAACTATGACAAAATGTCCCTGGTCAACCTTTGACGGCTAGGCACCATGGTTCTTATGTGAAGGAAGTCAATGAAATTGATTACACTGTCCTAACTCCAGGCCGCCAAAATAAAAAAAACCGATCGTGTCATATGAATATGATCAAGGAAGATCATGACAGACCTTAACGTGTGCCACTAAAGGTATTGCTACTGTCTCTTCTCTTCGTCAGAGGCGACTAACGGGATCGGGTGGTCAGGCTCGCTGACTTGGTTGATGCATGTCATCGTATCCCAATTGCGTGGATCGATGCTCATGGCAATCACTGGATTGTCTGGTCCAGACTCGATTATTTTCAGACCGCCGTCATATAGCTGGGATATTGCTGAGGGCGGCTTTAAACAACAAATAAACTGTCTCTCCTGTTGAATCCGTATGAAATGAGTGAAACACTGAATCTACCAGTGCGCATGTAATGTTTGAGAGATGTTAAACCATCTGGATGTGAAATTAGCTTTTATCTGGTAGCATCACTCCTTGACAGTGATTTATACACGCATGCTCGCGATATTGTAATCGACTCTGTGTTTAGCAGAGGTATCTTATGATCGTGGAAAGAGTGTTGTCACTTTTAGTTATCTTAGTCCAGAACAACAGAGACAGTTGTCAGAATTAATTCACTTGTTTGTCGAGTAGTTTCCGGATGTACCTGGTCGTACTGACCTAGTAAGTCATTAGGGGCGCTGGGGTAGCCTAATGGTTAAAGTGTTCGGTCGTCACGCCGAAGACCCGGGTTCGATTCCCCACATGGGTACATTGAGTGAAGCCCATTTCTGGTGTCCCCGCCGTCACATTGCTGGAATAGTGCTAAAAGCGGCGTAAAACTATACTCACTCACTCACTAGTAAGTCATTACATAGATGTAGAGTATCTCCGAAAGAGGTCAAGTAAATATGTAGGAGAACGACGTCATCGAACCACGTGACAGTGAGTGGAGATCACCATGCACCCTGGTACCCAAGCGTGACAGCACCTACTGTGACAACACCTACCGTGGCCGTGACAGCACCTACCGTGACCCTGACACCACTTACCGTGACAGCACCTACCCTGACAACACCTAGTGTGACAGCACCTACCGTGACCCTGACACCACCTACCGTGACAGCACCTACCCTGACCGTGACAGCACCTACCCTGACACCACTTACCGTGACCCAGACAACACCTACCGTGACCCAGACAACACCTACCGTGACCCAGACAACACCTACCGTGACCCTGACACCACCTACCGTGACCCAGACAACACCTACCGTGACAGCACCTACCCTGACCGTGACAGCACCTACCCTGACACCACCTACCATGACCCAGACAACACCTACCGTGACCCAGACAACACCTACCGTGACCCAGACAACACCTACCGTGACCCTGACACCACCTACCGTGACCCAGACAACACCTACCGTGACCCTGACACCACCTACCGTGACAGCACCTACCCTGACACCACCTACCGTGACAGCACCTACCCTGACCGTGACAGCACCTACCCTGACACCACCTACCGTGACCCAGACACCACCTACCGTGACCCAGACAACACCTACCGTGACCCAGACAACACCTACCGTGACCGTGACCGTGACAACACCTACCCAGACAACACCTACCGTGACCCAGACAACACCTACCGTGACCCTGACACCACCTACCGTGACCCAGACAACACCTACCGTGACCGTGACCGTGACAACACCTACCCAGACAACACCTACCGTGACCCAGACAACACCTACCCTGAGAACACCTACTGTGAGAGCAGCCACCGTGACAACACATACCGTGACCGTGACAGCACCTACCGCGACAACACCTACCGTGATATCACCTACCCCTCTTTTAGGGCGTATCGCTCTCTCTCTCTCTCCTATTACCAGATGTGGGTTTTGTCAATAACTTTCTTTTCATAAAACATTGATCAGACGAATGACCATATATTACTGATCCACTGATCTACTTCATTAGAAAATGATATTACAACAATGTAGCTATTACTTTAAAAAGATTAATTATGAAAAAAATGATACCACTGTAGGTTTATTAATGTCAACAGTATTGTGCGTCAACTTAATACCGCCTGTTCCTTGAAAACAATAAACGTTTCAGGAAGTCATTGTTGTAAAAACTCGTTTTGTTTTCATAATATGTTTGTTTTCTACGTTTATATCACATAAATATTTAATCTGAAGAAAGTATACACACTTGAACATTGGATTTGACCAAACAATTATAAACGCTATTAAAACGTTACTAGGCTGAAAGGGGCGGCGAGGTAGCCTAGTCGTTTAAGCGATCGCTCGTCACGCCGAAGACTCAGGTTCGATTCCCCACATGGGTACTTTGTGTGAAGCCCATTTCTGGTGTCCCCAACCGTGATATTGCTGGAATATTGGTAAAAGCGGCGTAAAAAGTAAAAAAACATACTCACTCACTAGTCTGAAAACATTCGCTGAAAAACTGCAAACCAAGGTTCTAACTCTGATACCCGGATCAAACACATCCCCATCGAATGACTATATCTTGTTTGTTTCATTTTAGCCATCAGGGGGTCTATAGTTACTTTTGCCGGATTGGCTGGATTTGAAAACAACAAACTATCAATATCTCAGATTGACTTCGTTACGGTTTGTTCGGTGTGGCTTCAAGGTTGTCGTTGTGGCTTTAAGTGTTTAAGAGGTTGCATTTTGCCTTAGCAATTTCGGCAGACCTGTCCCTCTTTGGGACTCATGTGTGTGTGAGTGAGTTGGGTTTAACGCCGTTTTTAACAATATTACAGTTACATCACGAAGTGTCAGCTTAATGTGGGAGGAAAGCCCGAAGTTATGCAGGTCTCAGACGTTTACCTCTTCGGTGAAACCCCAGAGCACGGGTATGGTACTGACAAACCTTGAAACAAAATCGGGGCGAACCGGGATTCGAACCCACAATCATGGGTTTCAGGCGTACCCAAGGGATGCAACTCTGCACAGCGAATCGCTGCGCCTTAGACGACTGGGCCACCCGTGCCCCATCATGTGTTGCAGTAGGGTACACATATCTATTGTGAGTTTTAGTATTGATAAAAATTACCTTTCAAGTCTTGACTTGAGTATCGTCGCACCTGACAGTCGACAGCCACGCGAGTACCTGGTCACGTGACCTGTGAATACTGCCATAGCACGAGCTGCACGCGACAGCAGTTATGTTGAACTCTCGGCACAGATCGAAGGGGAGCATTTCAAGTCAACAATATTCGTCAAACTTCCGAAAAGGACAATACAGAGTTCCCGCAACTGTAAAAAAAAGTTTTATTCGAAAAAGTGGTTTTATTAAATTCTTCTACAGTGTGAAATGCATGCACCGTATGCCAAGGCAGGGGGCGTGCAACCCACCTTCCGTTTACGTCACCAGAGAATCACGAAACGAGCATAGACTCTCGGGTTGCGCACATGCACGTCTGCTATGTGTGAAACATGAACGAACGCTACTGCATTCTTGCAATTCCTGGAGCGTGCATAGCGAAACATCGTGGCAGTACCAACTTGGAACAGACTATAGCCATTCCTGTCTATCTTAGAGGAGGGGGGCAGAGCTTTAGATCCAATGGCCGAAACAGTAGTACACACGCGCAATTGAGTAAAATTTTGTCTTTCATTAAATCTAACCATACCCTTCCCATAAAGAAGAAGTGACATTTCGATGGAATAATGTTCGCATGACAGTTGACAACGTTAATGGGGAACCATGTACCAAGTTGATGTAAGCGCGACTGAAGGAGGGGGCGTATTGGAACAGCTAACTTGGACCCCCAATGAAGTTTTCGCCATGCTCGCCGAATATGCGCAGAAAATATGCTAAAGCTTCGCTGGCTTTTAGCTCGTTACATCAATATAGCGTTGCATTAAGTTAAAATTTATCTTCGCGCTGGTGCTCTGCTTTTGCCGGCCTTGTAGAGTAATGGCTGAAGGGTCTTCACGAGTGCAGGCCAAGTCCTGCGTGATGGATGTGAAACAGGGCTGTGCATGGGTATCCGTCTCCTCAGAGATGAACTTTATTCCTCTGAAAGTTAGATGAAGAAAAGAGAAGATCCACGGATAACATGTTGACACACTGCTGTATACGAGTGACGACTCCCACTGTCGGATACAGCCCGGTTTTAGCATCATGCGATCCCGTCTTATCACCCACATGCCGTGAAAAAGGACCAGACATGCTATTTAAGAAATTATGCCGTTTTTCACTGTTCAAAAGCTAAATATCACACATGCGTCACCAAGAAAAGTAATGTCAGATTGTTGAAACATCTGTTTGAAGTTAACGGATGTAATCGATGTGATGTCGGATAAAACTCACTTTTGAGAAATGAGACACGCACCATTACTTTCTGAAATTAACGGTTTAAGAGAGCAGGGGCAAAGAGCACCATATATATGCTGAGGGACATGTGAATTAGGTATGTTTAAAATAGAACTTACTTGATTAGAAAGATCCGGGATAGAATAGGTCTTCAGCAACCCATGCTTGCCGTAAAAGGCGACTATGCTTGTCGTAAAAGGCGACTAACGGGATCGGGTGGTCAGGCTCGCTGACTTGGTTGATGCATGTCATCGATCCCAATTGCGTGGATCGATGTTCATGAAGTAAATCAATGGATTGTCTGGTCCAGACTCGATTATTTACAGACCGCCGTCATATAGCTGGAATATTGCTGAGTGCGGCGTAAAACAACAAACCAAACGAAACAAAAACCTGATTAGACAAGGTTGCCTCGTTTAAAATGACATGCAAAACTGTAAGCTAGCTTATTGTTATTATGCGCTAGTGCTTCTGCCCTCGTTTGTGGAGTCATTGTTAAGACTGTCGTCGGTAACCTTGCGTGTATGCTTGATGCACGAGGCGACTGGTTGATTGCCTGTCATCGTACCCCGACGGCGTGGTCCGTTGCTCATCATATCAGCCACTGGTTGTCAAGACTCGATCATGCACCGCCGTGATATAGCTTGAGATTGCCGAGTACTGCTACTACTATGACTATTGCCTGGTGCAACTACTTCTACAATCATCGCTACTATCACCTAAGGCTGGGGCGAGTCCAAATTTACTACCCGGGTATCCACCCTCCTATTACCCGACCATACCTGGGTACCCGCTGTAGGTCTCAATAGATATGTACAAAATTGGGAATAGTTTGACCGTAGCCCTGGACAAAATGTATTTAGATACACGTATAAAACGATCTGGTCATGCATACACTGAAGTTGACTGAAGCTTTATTTACTCAAACATATACAAGTCAAAAGGAATGTGTGCATGGTTAGAAAGAAATGCGAATATTAGCGACTTATAGTGTAACCACTGAGCTATAGTGAGTTTTTGTCATTAAACAAGATATCACATGACTAACCACGGATCCGGGTGGTCCTGTGGGTACCCGGGTCCTTCTCAGTACCCACCCGACCCGAATACCCGAGTTACCCGTCCCAGCCCTACTGTACCCCTGCTGACTCGTGAAGGTCCGGGTTAGAATAGGTCTTTACGAATCCATGCTTGTCGTAAGATGCGACTATGTTTTTAAGAGGTGACTAACGGGATCGGTTGGTGAGTCTCACTGACTTGGTTGATGCAGTTCACCGTATCCCTATTGCGTGGATCGATGCTCATGATATCAGTCACTGGATTGTCTGGTCCAGATTCGATTTAAATATCACCGCCAGAAAGCTGGAATATTTTTGTGTGTGATGTTAATCAAAGAAACAAACACTACTACTACAACGTCACTACTGCCACTACAACGTCACTACTACTACAACCATCACTCTTACGTAAGTCACTACTACTACTACTACTACTACTACAACGTCACTACTACTACCTCAGCTACGTGTATTAATCAAAGGAAGACGTGTCACGACTTCAGCTCAAGAGTTCAGTGCGTTAAACAAGTAAACCACCACTACAGCTGCCGCTACTGCTACTAAGCGCCGGGCCTTGAGCTGCAGACTGACCTTGGGCGCGCGCGCGTGCGTGCGTGATTTACCACTTTGGTAGAGCCTACGAGAACGAGTATGGCGCTGACACACTACCGATCATGATCAGGGTGGATTTGGAGTTCGAACCCACGATCACTGGATTCTGGCATGACCAAAATTCGTACAGGGATTCTCCCCCTCTTTCACCACTAAAAGTATCATATATTGTCTGACTACTAAATCATTCAGCAATGCCAGGTCCGAGATAAGCAACAGATGCTTGCTTGCATGGGCAGTGTTGTTAGGTGAATGTGTGAGTGAGTGAGTATGGTTTTACGCTGCTTTTAGCAATTTTACAGTAATATCATGGCGGGGACATAAGAAATGGGCTTCACACATTGTACCCATGGGTATCTTCCGCATGATGAGCGAACGCTTTAACCACAAGGCTACCCCACCGCCCCCTGTTAAGGCTATGGTGCTACATCTTTATATCATGGTCTGCATGGCAGGAACACCAGGGGTTGATTGTATGGTCCCAGTCAGGGGTACTATGTCATGCTTGGTTACATAGGGGAATAAACTACCCACACAACAAAGGAACCATTTTCTTGATTTACATACAATTTAATCACACATTAATTAACAGTCCAACTATATGTCTTATGTGGTCTCAGAAAATTTAACATTATAGATACAAAAGTAAGGCATGGTGATAATACCATTAAATCAAGATATAATATTTTTAATATTTACACAGGGGTACAAACTATCTGGTACTTTTTTCTGTATCAAGATTAGATATTTTTCTGCTACAGCTGCAAATCAGATATTTTTGTATTTTACATTTTGAGTTGGATATTTTCAAAGAAACACCTTGCTACAATGTAATTTTTATGGCAGTGATTTTTTTTTTTAAAGTCTGAAGCATTAAGTATTTTTTGGGACAAAATCACAGATACCCCAACCCAGAATATCACATGGTCAGTCCCTTAGGTAAACAATCCAAAATGTCACTAAAGGCGTTCATCCTGCATGGTAACTTTAACCTTACATGTCGCACTATCCACATACTTTCCAACTGTTACAGGTAGCCTATCCATGTACAAACAGTAGTGACTGGTGAATTGATAACCGACACATCACATAGTTGACAAAGGCTTTATTTCATTCAGTGCAAGATTGTTTTAGGATGCATTGCCAAAGCAAAGTAACAAACAAAATATGTCAACAACTAAACATATTACAGAAGGAGATTCACAGGGCAGACAGACAGATGGTGAAACACTGTGAACTATTTGGATGATTAGAAGTGGGTTTGACTTAAGTACAGGCCTGACTGTGTGTGCGTGTGCCTGGGTGTGTGTGTGTGTGTGTGTGTGTGTGTGTGTGTGCGTGTGCGCGCGCGCGTGCGTGTATGTGTGTGCGTGCGTGCCTGTGTGTGTGCCTGTGTAAGTGTGTGTGTGTGTGTGTGTGTGTGTGTGTGTGTGTGTGTGTGTGTGTCCTTTCTGTTGTCAATACCAGACTCCCAGTACCTCCATCTCAGGCTAATTGTCCCAGCTTACCAGTGCATGCCATGCGAGACTGAATAACTCTCCTGATGGAAATATAGCTGAGTGTGTCAGTGAAGTAACAATGGTACTTCTGGCAGCTTCCATAACAGTAACAGCGACATGAAACGAATGGTCATACAAAATCTTCATCACATGAAACAAAGCAATTGATAACAAATCTAACATTGAGCAATACATTGGCTGTGATATCTCTCATACTGGACAGGGAGGTCATTTTCCTATCCATGTGTTTTCCACAATGATTTGACACTCCCATAAAGTTATTACTTTGAGACCTCGCAATATGTTCTCTTCCTTTCATGATCATCGATACCACTTGATTGTCACAATTGCAAACAACAAATACACATGATATTTTTGTATTCCAAGAATTCCCTCTGAAATACGGAGGAAGGTAATACAGAAACTTGACATCCATATATCAGAGCAACCCTGTAGATCCTGGCCACACGGAGATCCTGATGACATCGACAGGTGAAGCACAAGCCATTGAGGAAGCAAGAAGCAAAGGCATTCTATAGACAGGTTTATTATTCAAGGAGTCGAGACTTTTGAAAAGAAACCCACCTGTTTCCAAATACACTGGAAACATAATATCCACCACCAAAATATATAGTTCACGGGACATGGTTGAAGTTTTGAAAAATAATGAGATGGGTTTCTGAGAAAAAACCTGAATACTGAGAAGCAATTGCTGAACAAATATTCAGTCTCAAACAAAAGCCCCAGGGTCCTATGGTGTTAAATAGATGGCCCCTGAGGATGCAAGCGGACAGGGTAATTGTACAAGGGGCAAAGGCATCACATGGACCAAAGTAACCAAACAAGAAGCCAACTCCTAATGTGTAATGGTAACGATACTGGGGTAAAGGCATTACTGGTAATAGCGGTATGTGGAGTGATGTCAGCCCAGGGTAACAATATAAGACAATCTCATTAAAATCAGATCTGAGTTCTCGCTGCTGCTAAACAAAGATCTGAAGACATCCCATTACGGGTCATGTCAGAACGACCTTTCGCGAACTTTGACCGACCACTGAAATGACTAACAAGAAGTCGACATCAGCCAATTAGTAAGCACCTTTCTTGAGCTTTACGGCACTCGTTTCAACCTGGCGACTTCCATTTCAGACTACACTGGAAAAACATGTTGACACAGTACTGATTAAAATTTTGAAAACTGCACAAACGAACATTCCGGAATGTCTAATATATGATTGAGATTATATGGCAGTGCTTCCCACGTACTGTTTATCCCATGGAAGCGAGAGATAGACGATAATTTTGATGGAATCAGTCGTACGGACCTTAACTGTCGTTCGGAATACACTGTGTTGACGTTTTCGAGGTTGCATTATTAGACAACATATTCCGACCGTCACTTTCATGATCTGGTAAGCGACACTTTGATTGGTCGAATGAAAGATCTTTCTGACGTGACCTGTAATGGGATGTCCACAAATCTTTGTATAGCGATAGCGAGAACGAAGATCTGATTTTAATGAGATTGAATCTAAGAGCAAGGTAAGGACACGAAAGCAAAGGCATTATATGGACCAAGGTTACAGTACAAGAGCAAAGGCATTATATGGACCAGGGTTACAGTACAGGAGCAAAGGCATTATATGGACCAAGGTTACAGTACAGGAGCAAAGGCATTATATGGACCAAGGTGACAGTACAAGAGCAAAGGCATTATATGGACCAGGGTTACAGTACATTAGCAAAGGCATTATATGGACCAGGGTTACAGTACAGGAGCAAAGGCATTATATGGACCAGGGTTACAGTACAGGAGCAAAGGCATTATAAGGACCAGGGTTACAGTACAAGAGCAAAGGCATTATAAGGACCAGGGTTACAGTACAGGAGCAAAGGCATTATATGGACCAGGGTTACAGTACAAGAGCAAAGGCATTATATGGACCAGGGTTACAGTACAGGAGCAAAGGCATTATAAGGACCAGGGTTACAGTACAAGAGCAAAGGCATTATATGGACCAGGGTTACAGTACAGGAGCAAAGGCATTATATGGACCAGGGTTACAGAACAAGAGCAAAGGCATTATATGGGGACCAGGGTTACAGTACAGGAGCAAAGGCATTATATGGACCAGGGTTACAGTACAGGAGCAAAGGCATTATATGGACCAGGGTTACAGTACAGGAGCAAAGGCATTATATGGACCAGGGTTACAGTACAAGAGCAAAGGCATTATATGGACCAGGGTTACAGAACAAGAGCAAAGGCATTATATGGGGACCAGGGTTACAGTACAGGAGCAAAGGCATTATATGGACCAGGGTTACAGTACAAGAGCAAAGGCATTATATGGACCAGGGTTACAGTACAAGAGCAAAGGCATTATATGGACCAGGGTTACAGTACAGGAGCAAAGGCATTATATGGACCAGGGTTACAGTACAGGAGCAAAGGCATTATAAGGACCAGGGTTACAGTACAAGAGCAAAGGCATTATAAGGACCAGGGTTACAGTACAGGAGCAAAGGCATTATATGGACCAGGGTTACAGTACAAGAGCAAAGGCATTATATGGACCAGGGTTACAGTACAGGAGCAAAGGCATTATAAGGACCAGGGTTACAGTACAAGAGCAAAGGCATTATATGGACCAGGGTTACAGTACAGGAGCAAAGGCATTATATGGACCAGGGTTACAGAACAAGAGCAAAGGCATTATATGGGGACCAGGGTTACAGTACAGGAGCAAAGGCATTATATGGACCAGGGTTACAGTACAGGAGCAAAGGCATTATATGGACCAGGGTTACAGTACAGGAGCAAAGGCATTATATGGACCAGGGTTACAGTACAAGAGCAAAGGCATTATATGGACCAGGGTTACAGAACAAGAGCAAAGGCATTATATGGGGACCAGGGTTACAGTACAGGAGCAAAGGCATTATATGGACCAGGGTTACAGTACAAGAGCAAAGGCATTATATGGACCAGGGTTACAGTACAAGAGCAAAGGCATTATATGGACCAGGGTTACACAACAAGAGCAAAGGCATTATATGGGGACCAGGGTTACAGTACAGGAGCAAAGGCATTATATGGACCAGGGTTACAGTACAAGAGCAAAGGCATTATATGGACCAGGGTTACAGTACAAGAGCAAAGGCATTATATGGACCAGGGTTACAGTACAAGAGCAAAGGCATTATATGGACCAGGGTTACAGAACAAGAGCAAAGGCATTATATGGGGACCAGGGTTACAGTACAGGAGCAAAGGCATTATATGGACCAGGGTTACAGTACAAGAGCAAAGGCATTATATGGACCAGGGTTACAGTACAAGAGCAAAGGCATTGTATGGACCAGGGTTACAGTACAAGAGCAAAGGCATTATAAGGACCAGGGTTACAGTACAAGAGCAAAGGCATTATATGGACCAGGGTTACAGTACAAGAGCAAAGGCATTATATGGACCAGGGTTACAGTACAAGAGCAAAGGCATTATAAGGACCAGGGTTACAGTACAAGAGCAAAGGCATCATATGGACCAGGGTTACAGTAAAAGAGCAAAGGCATTATATGGACCAGGGTTACAGTAAAAGAGCAAAGGCATTATATGGACCAGGGTTACAGTACAAGAGCAAAGGCATTATAAGGACCAGGGTTACAGTACAAGAGCAAAGGCATTATATGGACCAGAGTTACAATACAATGGGCACAGGCGAAAAGTATAACAAGAAGACGAAGTCATCTATATCTCCCGCCTATTGGACAATCTTAAAGACAATGATATGTGCAATTAAATGTGACATTGTAAATTAAGTTTGTCCATTCGCTTGTGGAAGAGCTTGAATACAAGAGCTGCTGTATAACATCTCCATAGAACTTTGTACAAATATCTGCTTCAGTAAGACTGTAATGTAAACAAATGTTGTCATCATCTTCCAGTATGTGAAGGCGAAGTTTGATTTGTATCCTTAAGCACTGCACAATTCACTTGTTTAGATATCATGAATTGTATTGTAGAGCATTGTTATACAGGCTGGTATTGTTGCAGCCCTACCCTTTATGGGTAGTTACCAGAGTAAGGTACACGGTACAGATACAGTACAAAAGTTGTGAGCATGCTGACACCTCAAAACCTGGCAAATTTCTAATACATCTACTATGAATCCTTTTATATCCTGTTGCAGTGTCTACTGGTGCGCCATTTAATTGAAATAGGAAATGATAACAATTTTAAAATCTTTACAGAACAAAGACTCTATATCGGCAGTAGGTTTATATTGTACAAAGTTTCATGGAGAAGTACATAACAGAACTGAGGAAAATTGTTAACTTAAAATTGCTCCAATTCAAGTCTAAATTAATCAAATTTATATAAAACAAAAAAATTGGGAGAATCATAAATAGCAAAAGGCACATCTACACTGCGGGGTGTATGGTGAGTGTGTTTACCAAGTTTCTTAAACATATCTCTAAAAGGATTTTTCAGTTCCGCTCTGGAAATGAAATCCACTGCTTTCATTCAGTTCAGTGACTAAGTCCAAATTTATAAAATTCATATAAAATAAAATATATTTTTGGGGAATCATAAATAGGGAAAGGCATATCTACACCATATAGTGAATGTGTGTACCAAGTTTTATAAAGATTTCTCTAACGGCTTTTGAGTTCTGCTCCGGAAATGAAACCCACTGCTTCCATTCAGTTCAGAAACTAAGTCCAAATTTTAAAAAATTATATAAAATATATTTCAAATGCAGGGGAAACCTAAATAGCAAAAGGCACATCTACACCAAATGGTGAATGTGTTTACCATATTTTGTAACATTATCGTCTTATGGTCTCTGAGTTCTGCTCCAGAAACGAAGTGTGATGGACAGACGGATGGCTGGAGTTCATTTCTATACAAATACTCTGTTCGAGGCAGAATCTCAATCACAGCATTATCTGCATGTAGACTCTAAGCAAATGGTTGGAGAATGTTATATCCTTCCTCCGAATGTCATCAAGAAGCACACCTAAAGATCTTGCAAAACAAGACAAGAGCCTTGGAAATGTGAACATACACATAAAATTACAGTGAAGTTGTTCACGTGTTGTACATATATGTTACAGAAAACACAAGACATTGAAACAATACAAAATGCCTTAGTCAAATCCCCTTCAGTTGACACTGCCCCACTCCAGCCTGCTATAAGGGGTAGTGGGACAATGGCAGTGACTACACCATGGCTTCCTTCCACTAAACTAGAGGTGATGGAGGTGTTCAGAAGGCATCATTGTGGAACATGGAATACTCGTGCTGTGACCTTTGGTCAATCATTTAAGTAGACAAGATACATACAATAAAAATATCTAAAAGGAACAATTCGTAAAATACAAACAACAGTGCATGACATGGATAACATAGGTATGTGTAACCAGAAATAGTAGAGATTCACAACTGGCAGTGAACTTGAACACACGTGTGTACCCACTGAATACAGTCTTTAAGGGAGGGGAACTGTAGGTGAGGGAACCTATACGTGTACTAGTAACTGACGATATACAGTACTTTGCAGAAATCTATTCAAGAGGTGGTTGTGTGTTTTTTTGGGTTTTTTTTGTAATCTCAGACATCCATGAAAGAGACATAACTAGTGTGCTTGTGGTATTTGCTACTTCAATAATACATACGGGGCTTCATGTGATCTTAGAGCATGGCCTTAAAGTGACCTCAGAGTATGGCCTTAAAGGGACCTGAGAGTATGACCTTAAAGTGACCTCAGAGCATGCCATTAAAGTAATCTCAGAGAATGGTCTTAAAGTGACCTCAGAGTATGCCTTAAGGTGACCTGACAGTATGGCCTTAAAGTGACCTGAGAGTATGGTCTTAGTGTGACCTGAGAGTATGGCCTTAAAGTGGAGCATGGCCTTAAAGTGATCTGAGAGAATGGTCTCAGAGGGACCTGAGAGTATTGCCTTAAAGTGACCTGAGAGCATGGCATTAAAGTGACCTCAGAGCATGCCATTAAAGTAATCTCAGAGAATGGTCTTAAAGTGACCTCAGAGTATGCCTTAATGTGACCTGAGAGTATGGCCTTAAAGTGACCTGAGAGTATGGTCTTAGTGTGACCTGAGAGTATGGCCTTAAAGTGGAGCATGGCCTTAAAGTGATCTGAGAGAATGGTCTCAGAGGGACCTGAGAGTATTGCCTTAAAGTGACCTGAGAGCATGGCATTAAAGTAATCTCAGAGAATGGTCTTAAAGTGACAAGAGAGTATGGCCTTAAAGTGACCTCAGAGCAAGGCCTTAAAGTGATCTGAGAGTATGGTCTTAAAGTTATCTGAGAGCATGGTATTAAAGTGACCTCAGAGCATGGCCTTAAAGTGATCTGAGAGAATGGTCTTAGAGGGACCTGAGAGTATGGCCTTAAAGTGACCTGAGAGTATGGCCTTAAAGTGACCAGAGATTATGCTTAAAAGTGACCTCAGAACATGGCCTGAAAGTGATCTGAGAGTATGGTCATAAGGTGACCTCAGAGCATGGCATTAAAGGAATCTCAGAGTATGGTCTAACCTGAATTTATTATCTTAAAGTGATCATGGGGTATGGCCTTTATGTGACCTAAATTTAGGCCGTAAAGAGGCCTTAAAGAGACCTTAGTGTATGGCTTTAAAGTGATCTCAGGGAAGGCCTTGAAGTGACCTCAGGGAAGGCCTCAAAGTGATCTCAACATATTAAAGTGAGCATGACCTTAAAGTAACCAAAGAATATGGCCTTAGGGTGGCCTCAGTGTATGCCCTTACAATGAACATGAAGGACATTCATTAGAATGATAAAACATACTGGAATGAAGCAAATGATCCAATACTTAATGAACAAGGCCTCCATATTCAATATATTTGTCCATACATATTTCATACTGTCGTGATTGGACTGCAGACACTGTCAACTCATAATGATTGATTAATAATTATTTGCTACAAAACTACTCCGTAAAAAGACTATAATATTCTACATTAATACTGACAACTACTTCCTTGAGATCGGTCCTTCCTAACCCATTGTCTCAGTATCACAAGCTTCCATACATTCTCATACTCCATTGTCTTCCATGTGTTCACAAACATTGTGTTCCATGTGTTCACAAACAAACACTGTCTTCCATGCGTTCACCGAAGAACATTGTCTTACATGTGTTCACAAACAAACATTGTCTTCCATGTGTTCACAAACATTGTCTCCCCTGTGTTCACAAACAAACATTGTCTTCCATGTGTTCACCAACAAACATTGTCTTACATGTGTTCACAAACAAACATTGTCTTCGATGTGATCACAAACAAAAACATTGTCTTCCATGTGTTCACAAACAAACATCGTCTTACATGTGTTCACAAACATTGTCTTCCATGTGTTCACAAACAAACATTGTCTTCGATGTGTTCATAAACAAACATTGTCTTCGATGTGTTCACAAACAAACATTGTCTTCCATGTGTTCACAAACATTGTCTTCCATGTGTTCACAAACAAACACTGTCTTCCATGCGTTCACCGAAGAACATTGTCTTACATGTGTTCACAAACAAACATTGTCTTCCATGTGTTCACAAACATTGTCTCCCCTGTGTTCACCAACAAACATTGTCTTACATGTGTTCACAAACAAACATTGTCTTCGATGTGTTCACAAACAAACATTGTCTTTGATGTGTTCACAAACAAACATTGTCTTCCATGTGTTTACAAACAAACATTGTCTTCCATGTGTTCACAAACAAACATTGTCTTCCATGTGTTCACAAACAAACATTGTCTTCCATGTGTTCACAAACAAACATTGTCTTCCATGTGTTCACAAACAAACATTGTCTTCCATGTGTTCACAAAAAAACATCGTCTTCCATGTGTTCACAAACAAACACTGTCTTCCATGTGTTCACCAAAGAACATTGTCTTACATGTGTTCACAAACAAACATTGTCTTACATGTGTTCACAAACAAACATCGTCTTACATGTGTTCACAAACAAACATCGTCTTCCATGTGTTCACAAACACTGTCTTCCATGTGTTCACCAACAAAGTTTATGGTTTGCCTATGTAAACTTTCATTAAAAAAATACAAAAATATGTTTCGTATACAAACTATCTATTTATGTTATAATAATGTATGCCACATAGCTAGAAGCTGAACACACCTCTAAATATCCCTCACTCTTCAACACAGTTTCAACACTAGGTGCTTTAAAAATTAAACTCACTCTCACTTGGTGACGTACTTGCTCACAATGATTTTCTTCATGAAACTATCGGTTCACCAACACATATTCATAGGACCTACTTGGCAAAGGAATGAATAATATTTTATTTATCATTTCATTATAATTTTTTTCAAGTTCATGTTCAGCACTATTATTTCTGTCAATTTCTTGTTTATCATAATGCATCTATTATTTCGGTCAAACTCTTGTTACCATAATGCACATATTGTTTCTGTCAAATTCTTGTTTATCAGAATGAATTTATTGTTTTTGTCAAACTCTTGTTACCATAATGCATTTATTGTTTCTGTCAAATTCTTGTTTATCATAATGCATTTATTATTTCAGTCAAACTCTTGTTACCATAATGCATTTATTGTTTCTGTCAAATTCTTGTTTATCATAATGCATTTATTATTTCAGTCAAACTCTTGTTATCATTATTCTGCCAAATTCTTGAATTCTTGTCTATTAAATTACATTTACTATTTCTTTCAAATTCTTATAATTATAATGCATTTATCATTTCTGTCAAATTCTTATCATAATACATGTATTAGTTCTGTCAAATTCATGTTTACCATGATACATTTATTACTTCTGTCAAATTCATTATGTCGTATCTCCAATTTATGACTCTGTTCAACACAAACCTATCTTAAGTTTTTATGTTAGTATAATGTCCACCTCAAATTCATTTTTTTGCTGCCCTGACATAACTACTTCCTTGAGATCGGTCCTTCCTAACCCATTGTCTCAGTATCACAAGCTTCCATACATTCTCATACTCCATTGTCTTCCATGTGTTCACAAACATTGTGTTCCATGTGTTCACAAACAAACACTGTCTTCCATGCGTTCACCGAAGAACATTGTCTTACATGTGTTCACAAACAAACATTGTCTTCCATGTGTTCACAAACATTGTCTCCCCTGTGTTCACAAACAAACATTGTCTTCCATGTGTTCACCAACAAACATTGTCTTACATGTGTTCACAAACAAACATTGTCTTCGATGTGATCACAAACAAAAACATTGTCTTCCATGTGTTCACAAACAAACATCGTCTTACATGTGTTCACAAACATTGTCTTCCATGTGTTCACAAACAAACATTGTCTTCGATGTGTTCATAAACAAACATTGTCTTCGATGTGTTCACAAACAAACATTGTCTTCCATGTGTTCACAAACATTGTCTTCCATGTGTTCACAAACAAACACTGTCTTCCATGCGTTCACCGAAGAACATTGTCTTACATGTGTTCACAAACAAACATTGTCTTCCATGTGTTCACAAACATTGTCTCCCCTGTGTTCACCAACAAACATTGTCTTACATGTGTTCACAAACAAACATTGTCTTCGATGTGTTCACAAACAAACATTGTCTTTGATGTGTTCACAAAAAAACATCGTCTTCCATGTGTTCACAAACAAACACTGTCTTCCATGTGTTCACCAAAGAACATTGTCTTACATGTGTTCACAAACAAACATTGTCTTCCATGTGTTCACAAACAAACATTGTCTTCCATGTGTTCACAAAAAAACATCGTCTTCCATGTGTTCACAAACAAACACTGTCTTCCATGTGTTCACCAAAGAACATTGTCTTACATGTGTTCACAAACAAACATTGTCTTACATGTGTTCACAAACAAACATCGTCTTACATGTGTTCACAAACAAACATCGTCTTCCATGTGTTCACAAACACTGTCTTCCATGTGTTCACCAACAAAGTTTATGGTTTGCCTATGTAAACTTTCATTAAAAAAATACAAAAATATGTTTCGTATACAAACTATCTATTTATGTTATAATAATGTATGCCACATAGCTAGAAGCTGAACACACCTCTAAATATCCCTCACTCTTCAACACAGTTTCAACACTAGGTGCTTTAAAAATTAAACTCACTCTCACTTGGTGACGTACTTGCTCACAATGATTTTCTTCATGAAACTATCGGTTCACCAACACATATTCATAGGACCTACTTGGCAAAGGAATGAATAATATTTTATTTATCATTTCATTATAATTTTTTTCAAGTTCATGTTCAGCACTATTATTTCTGTCAATTTCTTGTTTATCATAATGCATCTATTATTTCGGTCAAACTCTTGTTACCATAATGCACATATTGTTTCTGTCAAATTCTTGTTTATCAGAATGAATTTATTGTTTTTGTCAAACTCTTGTTACCATAATGCATTTATTGTTTCTGTCAAATTCTTGTTTATCATAATGCATTTATTATTTCAGTCAAACTCTTGTTACCATAATGCATTTATTGTTTCTGTCAAATTCTTGTTTATCATAATGCATTTATTATTTCAGTCAAACTCTTGTTATCATTATTCTGCCAAATTCTTGAATTCTTGTCTATTAAATTACATTTACTATTTCTTTCAAATTCTTATAATTATAATGCATTTATCATTTCTGTCAAATTCTTATCATAATACATGTATTAGTTCTGTCAAATTCATGTTTACCATGATACATTTATTACTTCTGTCAAATTCATTATGTCGTATCTCCAATTTATGACTCTGTTCAACACAAACCTATCTTAAGTTTTTATGTTAGTATAATGTCCACCTCAAATTCATTTTTTTGCTGCCCTGACATAACTGAAATACTGTCAGCTTCAGCCCAACTGACTGACTCACTCACTTGTATCACAATGTATTTTATTATTTGTAATAATCCATTATTATTTACCATAATACATTTCTCCTTTCTCTTCATGTTCAACATGTCCCTGTACTTAGGCGATTATCTATCAATAGTTCTCTACTTGAAATACTGTAATGAGACTGTCAACCGCCTTCAGACACGACACAGACCCTCACTGGCCATACAGGGCATAAAACACGAAGTACGCAGCGTTCAGGTCGAGTCTGTTGGTGGGGGAGAGAGCCAGCACGTTGTCGTCAAGCGTCACGTCCACAGACTCGATGAAGTTCTTGGCGGTGTCTGTGGACAGAACGGATGCTTCTTCTGGTGAGAGTGTCAGCGTCAGGATGTCCTTACCCTGCAGCTTCTGGAGCTGAAATCAAAGTGGAAGATTGTTTCACTTGTATAGTGACATACATGCACATGTGTGTGTGTGGCTGCTTGTACTAGTCTGGACTAATGAGGTTTTTTGTGCTAGCCCACTGAGAACCCATGCCTCAGTTTAACATGGATACACCCACTCAGACCAGTCCTTGTTTTATCATCTTAATGCCGAGCGACAGGCAAGGGCAAGGAAACAACAAGTACCATATTTTCACATTTTGTTGCATGACATGGCCAGGGATCGAACAACCGACCTTTCACTCTCCAGGTAGACACTATATCCACTACATCATTCAGGCGGTCATAGACACAAGAAAGATAGATTCAACTGTAAGATTATATATAACCTGAATTTCATCCTAATACATGTTAACATTCACCAAACTTAATGGTGGCTCTTCCTGGTACCCCGGGACATTGGTTCACTTACAATACTAAGAAGGTTTACTTACAATACTAAGAAGGTTTACTTACAATACTAAGAAGGTTTACTTACAATACTAAGAAGGTTTACTTACAATTCTAAGAATATTTACTAACAATACCAAGAAGGTTTACTTACAATACTAAGAAGGTTTACTTACAATTCTAAGAATATTTACTTACAATACTAAGAAGGTTTACTAACAATACCAAGAAGGTTTACTTACAATATACTTTACTAAGAAGGTTAACTTACAATACTAAGAAGGTTTACTTCAATACAAAGAAGGTTTACTTACAATACTAAGAAGGTTTACTTACAATACTAAGAAGGTTAACTTACAATACTAAGAAGGTTTACTTACAATACTAAGAAGGTTTACTTACAATACACTGTACTAAGAAGGTTTACTTACAATACACTGTACTAAGAAGGTTCACTTACAATACTAAGATGGTTTACTTACAATACTAAGAAGGTTTACTTACAATACACTGTACTAAGAAGGTTCACTTACAATACTAAGAAGGTTTACTTACAATACTAAAAAGGTTTACTTACATTACTAAGAAGGTTTACTTACAACACTAAGAAGGTCCACTTACAATACACTGTTCTAAGAAGGTTTACTTACAATACACTGTACTCAGAAGGTTTACTTACAATACACTGTACTAAGAAGGTTTACTTACAATACTAAAAAGGTTTACTTACATTACTAAGAAGGTTTACTTACAACACTAAGAAGGTTTACTTACAACACTAAGAAGGTTTACTTTCAACACTAAGAAGGTTTACTTACAATACTTAGAAGGTTTACTAACAATACTAAGAAGGTTCACTTACAATACTAAGAAGGTTTACTTACAATACTAAGAAGGTTTACTTACAATACTATGTACTAAGAAGGTTTACTTACAACACTAAGAAGGTTCACTTACAATACACTGTTCTAAGAAGGCTTACTTACAATACTAAGAAGGTTTACTTACAATACCAAGAAGGTTTACTTACAATACTAAGAAGGTTTACTTACAACACTAAGAAGGTTTACTTACAACACTAAGAAGGTTTACTTACAATACTAAGAAGGTTCACTTACAATACACTGTTCTAAGAAGGTTTACTTACAATACACTGTTCTAAGAAGGCTCACTTACAATACACTGTTCTAAGAAGGTTTACTTACAACACTAAGAAGGTTCACTTACAATACACTGTTCTAAGAAGGTTTACTTACAACACTAAGAAGGTTCACTTACAATACACTGTTCTAAGAAGGTTTACTTACATCACTAAGAAGGTTCACTTACAATACACTGTTCTAAGAAGGTTTACTTACAACACTAAGAAGGTTTACTTACAATACACTGTTCTAAGAAGGTTCACTTACAACACTAAGAAGGTTTACTTACAATACACTGTACTAAGAATGTTCACTTACAACACTAAGAAGGTTTACTTACAATACACTGTTCTAAGAAGGTTCACTTACAATACTAAGAATGTTCACTTACAATACTAAGAATGTTCACTTACAATACTAAGAAGGTTTACTTACAATACACTGTTCTAAGAAGGTTTACTTACAATACTAAGAATGTTCACTTACAACACTAAGAAGGTTTACTTACAATACACTGTTCTAAGAAGGTTTACTTACAATACTAAGAATGTTCACTTACAATACTAAGAAGGTTTACTTACAACACTAAGAAGGTCCACTTACAATACACTGTTCTAAGAAGGTTTACTTACAATACACTGTACTCAGAAGGTTTACTTACAATACACTGTACTAAGAAGGTTTACTTACAATACTAAAAAGGTTTACTTACATTACTAAGAAGGTTTACTTACAACACTAAGAAGGTTTACTTACAACACTAAGAATGTTCACTTACAATACTAAGAATGTTCACTTACAATACTAAGAAGGTTCACTTACAATACTAAGAATGTTCACTTACAACACTAAGAAGGTTTACTTACAATACACTGTTCTAGGAAGGTTTACTTACATCACTAAGAAGGTTCACTTACAATACACTGTTCTAAGAAGGTTCACTTACAATACTAAGAAGGTTCACTTACAATACACTGTTCTAAGAAGGTTTACTTACAACACTAAGAAGGTTCACTTACAATACTAAGAATGTTCACTTACAACACTAAGAAGGTTCACTTACAATACTAAGAATGTTCACTTACAATACTAAGAAGGTTTACTTACAATACACTGTTCTAAGAAGGTTTACTTACAATACTAAGAATGTTCACTTACAATACTAAGAATGTTTACTTACAACACTAAGAATGTTCACTTACAATACTAAGAATGTTCACTTACAATACTAAGAAGGTTCACTTACAATACTAAGAATGTTCACTTACAACACTAAGAAGGTTTACTTACAATACACTGTTCTAAGAAGGTTTACTTACATCACTAAGAAGGTTCACTTACAATACACTGTTCTAAGAAGGTTCACTTACAATACTAAGAAGGTTCACTTACAATACACTGTTCTAAGAAGGTTTACTTACAACACTAAGAAGGTTCACTTACAATACACTGTTCTAAGAAGGTTTACTTACATCACTAAGAAGGTTCACTTACAATACACTGTTCTAAGAAGGTTTACTTACAACACTAAGAAGGTTCACTTACAATACACTGTTCTAAGAAGGTTTACTTACAACACTAAGAAGGTTCACTTACAATACACTGTTCTAAGAAGGTTTACTTACATCACTAAGAAGGTTCACTTACAATACACTGTTCTAAGAAGGTTTACTTACAACACTAAGAAGGTTCACTTACAATACACTGTTCTAAGAAGGTTTACTTACAATACTAAGAAGGTTTACTTACAACACTAAGAAGGTTTACTTACAACACTAAGAAGGTTTACTTACAATACTTAGAAGGTTTACTTACAATACTAAGAAGGTTTACTTACAATACTAAGAAGGTTTACTTACAATACACTGTTCTAAGAAGGTTTCCTTACAACACTAAGAAGGTTTACTTAGATCACTAAGAAGGTTCACTTACAAAACACTGTTCTAAGAAGGTTTACTTACAATACTAAGAAGGTTTACTTACAATACACTGTTCTAAGAAGGTTTCCTTACAACACTAAGAAGGTTTACTTAGATCACTAAGAAGGTTCACTTACAAAACACTGTTCTAAGAAGGTTTACTTACAATACTAAGAAGGTTCACTTACAATACACTGTTCTAAGAAGGTTTACTTACAACACTTAGAAGGTTCACTTACAATACACTGTTCTAAGAAGGTTTACTTACAATACACTGTTCTAAGAAGGTTCACTTACAATACACTGTTCTAAGAAGGTTTACTAACAATACTAAAAAGGTTCACTTACAATACACTGTTCTAAGGAGGTTTACTTACAATACACTGTTCTAAGAAGGTTTACTTACAACACTAAGAAGGTTCACTTACAATACACTGTTCTAAGAAGGTTTACTTACAATACTAAAAAGGTTTACTTACAATACTAAGAAGGTTTACTTTCAAAACTAAGAAGGTTTACTTACAATACACTGTTCTAAAAAGGTTTACTTACAATACTAAGAAGGTTTACTTACTACACTAAGAAGGTTTACTTACAATACACTGTTCTAAGAAGGTTTACTTACAACACTAAGAAGGTTTACTTACAACACTAAGAAGGTTCACTTACAATACACTGTTCTAAGAAGGTTTACTTACAACACACTGTTCTGAGATGGTTTACTTACAACACTTAGAAGGTTCACTTACAATACACTGTTCTAAGAAGGTTTACTTACAATACCAAGAAGGTTTACTTACAATACACTGTTCTAAGAAGGTTTTCTTACAATACTAAGAAGGTTTACTTACAATACTAAGAAGGTTTACTTACAATATACTATACTAAGGAGGCTTACTTACAACACTAAGAAGGTTCACTTACAATACTAAGAAGGTTTACTTACATCACCAAGAAGGTTTACTTACAATACTAAGAAGGCTTACTTACAACACTAAGAAGGTTTACTTACAACACTAAGAAGGCTTACTTACAACACTAAGAAGGTTTCCTTACAACACTAAGAAGGTTTACTTACAATACTAAGAAGGTTTACTTACAACACTAAGAAGGTTTACTTACAATACACTATACTAAGAAGGCTTACTTACAACACTAAGAAGGTTCACTTACAATACTAAGAAGGTTTACTTACAACACTAAGAAGGTTTACTTACAATACTAAGAAGGCTTTGAGCTGTCTCTCCATCATCAACACAGCGGGCTACAGCATCGAGCTCATCGTCGTCAAACTCTTCCAGCAGACAGATGAGGAGCTGACATGCTTCAAATATGTCGCTGGTGGCTCGGGGGTACTCAACGTGGCCATCCTGACAACCAGTGACAATAACATTAACATTTCACAAAGACTGACACTTGAATTATCAATCAATTTGATATTAATATCAGAGTTGTCATTGATTAGGAAGTTTTGTACCGATATAACAACTAAAACATATTACGATATACATCGATAAATAACAAAATCAGTTTTCTGTATTTATATTGATAAAGTCATTCTCTTATATTTTCCTAGGTTTTATATAGGTGGGGATGTCATCATATATTGTGACATTGAAACTAATAAATTTTATATGTTGATACTGTATAAACCAAAGACCAACCAAAGTCTTCTGTTTCATTCTATGGTGGAACATCTCACCTTTATGTGAATTATCTCACCTTTATGTGGAGCATACACTATGAAATATCTCACCTTTATCTGAAATATCTCTCCATTTTGTGAAAGCATGCACTGTAGAATATCTCACCTTTATGTGGAAGCATGCACCATGAAATATTTCACCTTTATGTGAAACATCTCTCCATTTTGTGAAAGCATCCACTGTGGAATGTCTCACCTTTATGTGGAAGCATGCACCATGAAATATTTCACCTTTATGTGAAACATGTCTCCATTTTGTGAAAGCATGCACTGTGGAATATCTCACCTTTATGTGGAAGCATGTATTGTGGAATATCTCACCTTTATGTGGGAGCATGCACTGTGAAATATCTCACCATTACGTGGAAGCATGCATTGTGGAATATCTCACCTTTATGTGGGAGCATGCACTGTGAAATATCTCACCATTACGTGGAAGCATGCACTGTGAAATATCTCACCTTTATGTGGAAGCATGCACTGTGGAATATCTCACCTTTATGTGGAAGCATGCACTGTGGAATATCTCATCCTTATGTGTAAGCATGCATTGTGGAATATCTCACCTTTATGTGGGAGCATGCACTGTGAAATATCTCACCATTACGTGGAAGCATGCACTGTGAAATATCTCACCTTTATGTGGAAGCATGCACTGTGGAATATCTCACCTTTATGTGGAAGCATGCACTGTGGAATATCTCATCCTTATGTGGAAGCATGCATTGTGGAATATCTCACCTTTATGTGGAGCATGCACTGTGGAATATTTCAACCATATTATTAAGTCTGAAACTGTAGAACATCTTACATTTATGTGGAAGCCTGCAATTGTGAGGAACTGTTGGATATCATCGTTTGATGTTCCGATCTTCTTATTTAAGTTCTCCAGATTGGTTGTCTTCTCAATGTTTGCATCGATGAACACCTCAGCTTCTTGCAGCTGTCAACAAATGTCACACACATACATAACAAGTCCACCTTGACACACACATACATAACAAGTCCACCTTGACACACACATACATAACAAGTCCACCTTGACACACACACATACATAACAAGTCCAGTTGACACAAACATATCAAGTCCACCTTGACACACACATACATAACAAGTCCAGTTGACACACACAAACATAACAAGTCCACCTTGACACACACATACATAACAAGTCCACCTTGACACACACATACATAACAAGTCCACCTTGACACACACATACATAACAAGTCCACCTTGACACACAATACATAACAAGTCCACCTTGACACACACATACATAACAAGTCCACCTTGACACACACATAACAAGTCCACCTTGACACACACATACATAACAAGTCCACCTTGACACACACATACATAACAAGTCCACCTTGACACACACACACATACATAGCAAGTCCACCTTGACACACACATAACAGGTCCACCTTGACACACACATAACAAGTCCAACTTGACACATACATACATAACAAGTCCACATTGAACATACATAACAAGTACACCTTGACACAAACATAACAAGTCCACATTGACAACACACATACATAACAAGTCCACATTGACACACACATACATAACAAGTCCACATTGATACACACATACATAACAAGTCCACCTTGACACACACATACATAACAAGTCCACCTTGACACACACATACATAACAAGTCCACCTTGACACACACATAACAAGTCCACCTTGACAAACACATAACAAGTCCACCTTGACACACACATAACAAGTCCACTTTGACACACACATAACAAGTCCACCTTGACACATCCATAACAAGTCCACCTTGACACAAACACAACAAGGGACACACACAGGTCACTGTGCACACCTTGACACACACAGGTCACTGTGCACACCTTGACACACACATACATAACAAGTCCACCTTGACACACACATACATAACAAGTCCACCTTGACACACACATACATAACAAGTCCACCTTGACACACAATACATAACAAGTCCACCTTGACACACACATACATAACAAGTCCACCTTGACACACACATAACAAGTCCACCTTGACACACACATACATAACAAGTCCACCTTGACACACACATACATAACAAGTCCACCTTGACACATACATAACAAGTCCACCTTGACACACACAGGTCACTGTGCACACCTTGACACACACACACACACACATAACAAGTCCACCTTGACACACACATAACTAGTCCAACTTGACACATACAGGTCACTGTGCACATCTTGACACACACACACACATAACAAGTCCACCTTGACACATACAGGTCACTCTGCACACCTTGACACACACACACACATAACCTTGACACACACATAACTAGTCCAACTTGACACACACAAGTCACTGTGCACACCTTGACACACAAACACACATAACAAGTCCACCTTGACTCACACATAACAAGTCAAACTTGACACATACAGGTCACTGTGCACACCTTGACAAAAACACACATAACAAGTCCACATTGACGCACACATAACAAGTCCAACTTGACACACACAGGTCACTGTGCACACCTTGACACATACAGGTCACTCTGCACACCTTGTTACATACAAGTCACTGTGCACACCTTGACACATACAGGTCACTGTGCACACCTGACACACACATACATAACAAGTCCACCTTGACACACACATAACAAGGTCAACTTGACACACACAGGTCAATGTGCACACCTTGACACATACAGGTCACTGTGCACACCTTGACACACACAGGTCACTCTGCACACCTTGACACATACAGGTCACTCTGCACACCTTGACACATACAGGTCACTCTGCACACCCTGACACACACAGGTCACTCTGCACACCTTGACACACACAGGTCACTCTGCACACCTTGACACATACAGGTCACTCTGCACACCTTGACACATACAGGTCACTCTGCGCAACTTGACACACACAGGTCACTCTGCACACCTTGACACACACAGGTCACTCTGCACACCTTGACACATACAAGTCACTCTGCACACCCTGACACATACATAACAAGTCCACACATACATAACAAGTCCACCTTGACACACACAGGTCACTCTGCACACCTTGACACACACAGGTCACTCTGCACACCTTGACACATACAAGTCACTCTGCACACCTTGACACACACAGGTCACTCTGCACACCTTGACACACACAGGTCACTGTGCACACCTGACACACACATACATAACAAGTCCACCTTGACACATACAGGTCACTCTGCACACCTTGACACATACAAGTCACTCTGCACACCTTGACACACACAGGTCAATGTGCACACCTTGACACATACAGGTCACTGTGCACACCTTGACACACACAGGTCACTCTGCACACCTTGACACATACAAGTCACTCTGCACACCCTGACACACACAGGTCACTGTGCACACCTTGACACACACAGGTCACTCTGCACACCTTGACACATACAGGTCACTCTGCACACCTTGACACATACAGGTCACTCTGCGCAACTTGACACACACAGGTCACTCTGCACACCTTGACACACACAGGTCACTCTGCACACCTTGACACATACAAGTCACTCTGCACACCCTGACACACACAGGTCACTGTGCACACCTTGACACACACAGGTCACTGTGCACACCTGACACACACATACATAACAAGTCCACCTTGACACACACAGGTCACTGTGCACACCTTGACACACACAGGTCACTCTGCGCACCTTGACACACACAGGTCACTCTGCACACCTTGACACACACAGGTCACTCTGCGCACCTTGACACAAACAGGTCACTGTGCACACCTTGACACACACAGGTCACTCTGCACACCTTGACACATACAGGTCACTGTGCACACCTTGACACATACAGGTCACTGTGCACACCTTGACACATACAGGTCACTCTGCGCACCTTGACACATACAGGTCACTCTGCACACCTTGACACATACAAGTCACTCTGCACACCCTGACACACACAGGTCACTGTGCACACCTTGACACACACAGGTCACTCTGCACACCTTGACACATACAGGTCACTCTGCACACCTTAACACATACAGGTCACTCTGCACACCTTGACACATACAGGTCACTCTGCACACCTTGACACATACAGGTCACTCTGCACACCTTGACATATACAGGTCACTCTGCACACCTTGACACATACAGGTCACTCTGCACACCTTGACACATACAGGTCACTGTGCACACCTTGACACATACAGGTCACTCTGCACACCTTGACACATACAGGTCACTCTGCACACCTTGACACACACAGGTCACTCTGCACACCTTGACACATACAGGTCACTCTGCACACCCTGCATGGAGCTACATGTCAAAAGTGTCACAGAGAGAGTTTGACTTAATGCCATAATACATCAGGTCGTAATTGAGAGTTAGACATGCACCAGGTACTGACCAGCTCGGATAGAGGCTGGACAGTCTGCGGAAGCTCCATTATTCCCCGCAGGCTGCTCTTGACCTGCTCACGCTGACCAGCGGACAATTCCAGCAGGCTGCGGAAAATATTTCCCGGGGTACCTGAAACACATCAGAACCTACAAGTGTTCACTTCATTTCATCTTGCTAAGGAGAAAAAATATACTGACAGAGTTGCCAGGCTGCTGAATAGCTTACATACTCTGACAGTCAAGTGAGTGACCAATCACAGTGCAGTATTTCAGATACGTAATGGAATTGTTTTATAAACATACATAACTTTCAACTATACTTAAGCATTTTTTTATTATCATTATATTAACAGTAAATATTTCATTTTATTTATGTATTATTGAACTACAGTAAACTATGTTTATAACTAACATGCTTATAAACAAACTGACAGATAAGACAAACTTATTTTTTTGTACCGCCCATTTGCTGTATATATGCTGTACATATGCTTATATCGAACTACAATTATAACTAAACTAAAATTAGTGGTCCCTTTGAATTCGTTATAACCGTAGTTTATGGTACCTTGAAAAGTACAGGTAATATTGTTCTCAATACTGATTTAACAATTTTATATAGTTTTATTTTTTAATGACAGAAAATATTTTCAATTGGGCTCAGACAAAGGAAATAGTCATCAGATAAATCAGAGGAGAGATCCGACCAGGTAGAAATACATTCATAGGAGGAACAATCCCTTCAATGCAGCAGTTCCTTGTTGTAGGGTTCATTGAGGACAATCGCTGTGTCAGATAGGAATATTCCACTCACCAGAACGCTCCACCCACCAGAACACTCCACCCACCTGAACACACAACTCAAAACTCCACCCACGTTCGACTCACCTGAACATTCCACACATCTCAACTCACCTGAACATTCCACACACCTAAACTCACCTGTACATTCCACACACCTAAACTCACCTGAACATTCCACACACCTAAACTCACCTGAACATTCCACACACCTAAACTCACCTGAACAATCCACACACCTAAACTCAACTGAACATTCCACACACCTAAACTCACCTGAACAATCCACACACCTAAACTCACCTGTACATTCCACACACCTCAACTCACCTGAACATTCTACACACCTCAACTCACCTGAACAATCCACACACCTCAACTCACCTGAACAATCCACACACCTAAACTCACCTGTACATTCCACACACCTCAACTCACCTGAACATTCCACACACCTAAACTCACATGTACATTCCACACACCTCAACTCACTTGTACATTCCACACACCTAAACTCACCTAAACAATCCACACACCTAAACTCACCTGTACATTCCACACACCTCAACTCACCTGAACATTCCACACACCTAAACTCACCTGAACAATCCAGACACCTAAACTCACCTAAACAATCCACACACCTAAACTCACCTGAACAATCCACACACCTAAACTCACCTGAACATTCCACACATCTAAACTCACCTGAACATTCCACACACCTAAACTCACCTGAACATTCCACACACCTCAACTCACCTGAACAATTCCACACATCTAAACTCACCCAACATTCCACACACCTAAACTCACCTGTACAATCCACACACCTAAACTCACCTGAACAATCCACACATCTAAACTCACCTGAACAATCCACACACCTCATCTCACCTGAACATTCCACACACCTAAACATTCCACACACCTAAACTCACCTGAACAATCCACACACCTAAACTCACCTGAACAATCCACACACCTAAACTCACCTGTACATTCCACACACCTAAACTCACCTGAACATTCCACACACCTAAACTAAGCTGAACATTCCACACACCTAAACTCACCTGAACATTCCACCATCTAAACTCACCTGAACATTCGACACATCTAAATTCACCTGAGAATTCCACACATCTAAACTCACCTGAACATTCCACACACCTAAACTCACCTGAACATTCCACACACCTAAACTCACCTGTACATTCCATACACCTAAACTCACCTGAACATTCCACACACCTAAACTCACCTGAACATTCCACAGCACTGAAGGACTCTGCCAGTGCATCCACCTGGTCAAGGTTGGCGAGACTGTCAGGGGTGAATCCCCCCTTGGTGCCTGGATCCACCTGAACCTGGAAGCTCCCATCCATGGTGCTGACCAGCAGCTCATACACCCGGTACGCCACAGGGGTCCCACTTGGCACCTTCATCGACTTCGACTTCTTCTCATCCACGTCTTCACTTGCAGTGACTGTGACAGCCGCGCTGCTTATGCACTGTTATAGAACAGAGAGGGGTCATAGGTCACCTTGTGAAGAGGTGAAGTGATATGGGATTTAACGGCACCTTCCAAGATTAATGCACTTATATAGCATGTGGCTGCTTGTGGTAGTCCAGACTAATGCGATTTTATAGTGCTAGCCCACTGAGATACAATGTCACAGTTTAAAAAGAATACCCCACTCAGACACAGTATACTGACTCTACAACGACCAGACCTTGTTATCGCCCATTAATGCCGAGCGCAAGGCATAGTAGCAACAAGAACCATCTTTTAATATCTTTTGATATGACGCGGATGGGGATTGAACCCCTGACCTTCCACTCTCCAGGCAGACGCTCTACCACTCGACCATTTAGGCTGTCTTGCGGAGAGGGAGAGTGGAATAAGTAATATTTGAATGGGTATTTTGATAGGTCACATTGTGAACAGGTAATGCTCACAGGTCACATCGTGAACAGGTAATGTTCACAGGTCACATCGTGAACAGGTAATGCTCACAGGTCACATCGTGAACAGGTAATGTTCACAGTTCACATCATGAACTGGTTATTTTCACAGGTCACATCTTGAACAGGTAATGTTCACAGGTCACATCATGACCAGGTAATGTTCACACATCATATCGTGACCAGGTAATGTTCGCAGGTCACATCGTGAACAGGTAATGCACACAGGTCAAATTGATACTTGGTGGAATCAACAGGTCACATGTTAATTGGTAGAGGTAAGCAGGTTGGACATGAAGGGTTGTGAAGGGTCACATGTTATGGGGTGATTGTCACAAGTGACAATGTGGTGATGGAGTGATTGTCACATGTGGTGATGTGATGTGGTGATGTGATGTAGTGATGTGATGTGGTGATGTGGTGATGTGATGTTGTGATGTGATGGGGTGATGTGATGTTGTGATGTGATGGGGTGATGTGATGTTGTGATGGGGTGATGTGATGTGATGTGGTGATTTGATGGGGTGATGTGATGTGGTGATGTGGTGATGTGATGGGGTGATGTTACAAGTGAAATGGAAGTGGGTAACACACGTTAGTTGTGAAATAAATTGGAAGAAATTGAATCCAAATGTCTTGAATCACTCTATTTTTTATGGCAGAGATTTATGTTCTGGTAAACACTGGTACCTACGGGACCATATAAGCTAACACTGGTTACTTCAGGACCACGTAAGCTAACACTAGTTACTTCAGGACCACATAAGCTAACACTGGTTACTTCAGGATCACATAAGCTAACACTGGTACCTACAGGACCACGTAAGCTAACACTGGTTACTTCAGGACCACGTAAGCTAACACTGGTTACTTCAGGACCATGTAAGCTAACACTGGTTACTTCAGGACCACGTAAGCTAACACTGGTTACTTCAGGATCACATAAGCTAACACTGGTACCTACAGGACCACGTAAGCTAACACTGGTACCTACAGGACCACGTAAGCTAACACTGGTTACTTCAGGACCACGTAAGCTAACACTGGTTACTTCAGGACCACATAAGCTAACACTGGTTACTTCAGGATCACATAAGCTAACACTGGTTACTTCAGGACCACGTAAGCTAACACTGGTTACTTCAGGATCACATACGCTAACACTGGTTACTTCAGGACCACATAAGCTAACACTGGTTACTTCAGGATCACATAAGCTAACACTGGTTACTTCAGGACCACGTAAGCTAACACTGGTTACTTCAGGATCACATACGCTAACACTGGTTACTTCAGGACCACGTAAGCTAACACTGGTTACTTCAGGATCACATAAGCTAACACTGGTACCTACAGGACCACGTAAGCTAACACTGGTTACTTCAGGACCACGTAAGCTAACACTGGTTACTTCAAGACCACATAAGCTAACACTGGTACCAACAGGACCACATAAGCTAACACTGGTACCTACAGGACCACATAAGCTAACACTGGTACCTACAGGACCACATACGCTAACACTGGTACCTACAGGACCACATACGCTAACACTGGTTACTTCAGGACCACGTAAGCTAACACTGGTTACTTCAGGATCACATAAGCTAACACTGGTTACTTCAGGACCACATACGCTAACACTGGTTACTTCAGGATCACATACGCTAACACTGGTTACTTCAGGACCACATAAGCTAACACTGGTACCTACAGGACCACATAAGCTAACACTGGTACCTACAGGACTACATAAGCTAACACTGGTTACTTCAGGATCACATAAGCTAACACTGGTTACTTCAGGACCACATAAGCTAACACTGGTACCTACAGGACCACATAAGCTAACACTGGTTACTTCAGGACCACATAAGCTAACACTGGTACCTACAGGACCACATACGCTAACACTGGTACCTACAGGACCACATACGCTAACACTGGTTACTTCAGGACCACGTAAGCTAACACTGGTTACTTCAGGACCACATAAGCTAACACTGGTACCTACAGGACCACATAAGCTAACACTGGTTCCTTCAGGATCACATAAGCTAACACTGGTACCTACAGGACCACATAAGCTAACACTGGTACCTACAGGACTACATAAGCTAACACTGGTTACTTCAGGATCACATAAGCTAACACTGGTTACTTCAGGACCACATAAGCTAACACTGGTACCTACAGGACCACATAAGCTAACACTGGTTACTTCAGGACCACATAAGCTAACACTGGTACCTACAGGACCACATACGCTAACACTGGTACCTACAGGACCACATACGCTAACACTGGTTACTTCAGGACCACGTAAGCTAACACTGGTACCTACAGGACCACATAAGCTAACACTGGTACCTACAGGACCACATACGCTAACACTGGTACCTACAGGACCACATACGCTAACACTGGTTACTTCAGGACCACGTAAGCTAACACTGGTTACTTCAGGATCACATAAGCTAACACTGGTTACTTCAGGACCACATACGCTAACACTGGTTACTTCAGGATCACATACGCTAACACTGGTTACTTCAGGACCACATAAGCTAACACTGGTACCTACAGGACCACATAAGCTAACACTGGTACCTACAGGACTACATAAGCTAACACTGGTTACTTCAGGATCACATAAGCTAACACTGGTTACTTCAGGACCACATAAGCTAACACTGGTACCTACAGGACCACATAAGCTAACACTGGTTACTTCAGGACCACATAAGCTAACACTGGTACCTACAGGACCACATACGCTAACACTGGTACCTACAGGACCACATACGCTAACACTGGTTACTTCAGGACCACGTAAGCTAACACTGGTTACTTCAGGACCACATAAGCTAACACTGGTACCTACAGGACCACATAAGCTAACACTGGTTCCTTCAGGATCACATAAGCTAACACTGGTACCTACAGGACCACATAAGCTAACACTGGTACCTACAGGACTACATAAGCTAACACTGGTTACTTCAGGATCACATAAGCTAACACTGGTTACTTCAGGACCACATAAGCTAACACTGGTACCTACAGGACCACATAAGCTAACACTGGTTACTTCAGGACCACATAAGCTAACACTGGTACCTACAGGACCACATACGCTAACACTGGTACCTACAGGACCACATACGCTAACACTGGTTACTTCAGGACCACGTAAGCTAACACTGGTTACTTCAGGACCACATAAGCTAACACTGGTACCTACAGGACCACATAAGCTAACACTGGTTCCTTCAGGATCACATAAGCTAACACTAGTTACTTCAGGACCACATACGCTAACACTGGTTACTTCAGGACCATGTAAGCTAACACTGGTTACTTCAGGACCACATACGCTAACACTGGTACCTACAGGACCACGTAAGCTAACACTGGTACCTACAGGACCACGTAAGCTAACACTGGTACCTACAGGACCACGTAAGCTAACACTGGTACCCACAGGACCACATACGCTAACACTGGTTACTTCAGGACCACGTAAGCTAACACTGGTACCCACAGGACCACATACGCTAACACTGGTTACTTCAGGACCACGTTAGCTAACACTGGTACTCACAGGACCACATACGCTAACACTGGTTACTTCAGGACCACGTAAGCTAACACTGGTACCTACAGGACCACGTAAGCTAACACTGGTACCTACAGGACCACGTAAGCTAACACTGGTACCTACAGGACCACGTAAGCTAACACTGGTACCTACAGGACCACGTAAGCTAACACTTGTACCCACAGGACCACATACGCTAACACTGGTACCTACAGGACCACGTAAGCTAACACTGGTTACTTCAGGACCACATACGCTAACACTGGTTACTTCAGGACCACGTAAGCTAACACTGGTACCCACAGGACCACGTAAGCTAACACTGGTACCCACAGGACCACGAAAGCGAACACTGGTACCTACAGGACCACGTAAGCTAACACTGGTACCTACAGAAAACGTGCCTCCAGCTTTGCCTGTTTCATCAAAGTTGACTTGACTGGAGAGGTTGGCATCACTGACCAGCTTGACCACGCCCGTCACCACACACAGAGTCTTGTCATTGATCAGGGGCTTCACCAGCGGGTGGTCCAGATTGATTCTCCTGGTGATGAGAGATTAAGGTTAGGAGGTTTGTTAGCTCACCTGATCTCATTTCAGATCACAGATTAATATGATGGAATTTAAGTTGGCAGGAAAAAAAAAGAAAAAGAAAAAATGGTATTAATGTTTTGTAATGATTCTTATATTTTGACATTGAAGGTATTCTAACATTGGATTAAATACAGCCATGTCTAGGGGTGGGCAATATAACATGGTATAACGGTGTGTTGCAATACGGCTGTCAACAATACACGTGTCGCAATACAACCCTTGTGTATTGATATTTTCCATGACAGTCACAGAAGAATTATTACTTAATTACATATACAGCTCTCCACATTGAGATTAATTGCAATACGATTTACGTGCAAATGCTCCAACCCTAACAATGTCCATCCTTGTCCCAATGCAGAGTGAGACTTAAGTCAGCATAATGCTGACCTGATCTAGGAAACACAAGACCGATGTGGGGGAGTTTATAAACATTTGCTGCCAATGGGAATGCCTGGAGAATCGCAGTAGATTTCTAAATAATTTTATATGAAGATTAAAGCAAGTCTGCATTCATGTTCCTGACACCACAACTGGGTCACATGAGGCTGTCTCTGTTGTTTGTGGCCTGGATGGTGCAGGAAGTGTCAAATGTCACGAGGAAAACTTCAAACTGTGTGTGATACCAGTACTTCAAATCAGGAAATTCATGTGTCAACAACTTAATGTGAGTGTCAACCCCTGGCCCCAAGTCACAAAATTGATTCGAGTACCCCAGCCTTGGAACTATCAGCAAACGGAAACCACCAAGACTGAGACCTAGAATTATACATAATGCAGTATGGGGTGACTGAAGTTTAATAGAATAATATCATCACAAACATAACTTCAACTGCTTGACATGTGATCTAACTTCAATAAAACCCAAACCAGGAAATTCCAAATACAGGTTTCAATTTCTGTCAGATTAGTTAGCATTAATCCTTTGAGCATATACCGTATTCGATGTAATAAGCGCCCAGGGCGCTCTCAAAATTAGAAATAGGGAGCTCTTATTAGGATATTATTTTGAGTTGAAAGATCGTAAATTTCGTGGTTGATCCTGACAGCCTGAAATGTTTATAAACGACAGATATATTTTTCCAGGATTTTATTGCCCATAATTAAGGGTGCATATGACATATGAGTGCGTATTATACACAAATAAATAAGTCTTGTGTACATTAATCAATTGGAAGGGATGCTAACTGAGATTGTTCACTAGCCAATATATGAGCAAATATCGCCTTGGGCGCTTATTAGAGCAGGGCGCTTATTACGTCGAATACGATATGAGCGGTGTTGTGTATTCACCACAGCTGCTGTTACAATACTGGACATGTCCCCTATGTGGGTGAGCCGAGTTTTACGTGTAGTTGTAAGATTATTTGACAGTTTACCAAGAACAAAGACACCATCATACACAGCAACCTTCATAACTGCTCAACGAACTGTGGAATCTAACTGACCACACTTAACACTGACCTTGGTGAGAAGCACTACATCTACCTGTATACTGGGAGTTTTATATATGTCATTGTTTCCGCCCATGTGCAGTGAACCTGACGTTTACAAAATACACTTGTACCACAATATGCCGAGATAAAAATGTGTCACTTTATTGATGTGAGCAAGGGACTGTCACAATTGTGGCCTTATTTTCCTGGTTTACAGTAAGTTACATACTGTCCACATGTGTCCTTGTCACTGTACAGAGCATAATGTTGTAATGAGTGAGTGAGTATAGTTTTACGCCACTTTTAGCAATATTCCAGCAATATCACGGCAGGAGGACACCAGAAATGGGCTTCACACATTGTACCCATGTCGGGAATCGAACCCGGGTCTTCGGCGTGACGAGCGAACGCTTTAACCACTAGGCTACCTGACCGCCCCCATAATGTTGTATATGGCTGTTGTGAGTTGATGTCACACGTGATACACATGGGGCAGCACACGCACCGATACAAACTAGAAGTCACATGAAACATGAAACCCAGTACTTCCTGGTGTGTAGGGGCGGTCGGGTAGCCTAGTGGTTAAAGCCTTCGCTCGTCACGCTGAAGACCTGGGTTGATTCCTGACATGGGTACAATGTGTGAAGCCCATTTCTGGTGTCCCCGACTGTGATATTGCTGGAAAATTGCTAAAAGCGGCGTAAAACCAAACTCACTACTGGTGTGTAATAGGCCCAGTGACAGCAGAGGTCACTGGCTCTGAGGAGTGTCTAGATCAAATCCCACTGCTCACTCTGCAGCATTAGACATTACCACTAGTCCTATAGTCCATGTCAAACTGCCCAGTAGTCAAGGTATCATAAGGACGAGCAGAAATTTGCCATTTTTAAGGGTTTTGCTACATGTTATTTGTATAAGGACTAGAGGACAAAAACAGTTTGTTTCTATTGCTGCTCCGGCCCCTTGCATTGTGTTTTATTAAAGGTAACTGTGAGGATACATCAGCCAGATTGAACACTCCTGTGACTCTGTAGTATGGTCATGCAACAGGGCTGGTGAATCAAGACAAAAAGACTTGTTGGAAAGATAATGAATTTTAATAAATATTAAATTGATATAATTATAATGTTTAAGAAAATAAAATCATAAAATTGAGAAATTCAATAATCACATGGAAGAGAGCCCATTAACTGTCTATTATTTATCAGATACTTTTACCTCACACTACTTTTTCCGCAAGGAAACTATTTACGTCCAAATCGTGAGTAATAAGAGAGACAATTGACTACAAGATACATACAACTTCCAGACATACTTATATGAAATTTATATGATGTTTCTTATAGATTCTCAAAATAGCCACCTGATGTCCCTTGTCCTATGTAATTACCCTAAATTACAGGATTTCCTACAGGTGCAAAAAAAAAGATTCAACCCAAGAGATTAAAAATATATTGAATACGAAAGAAAACGATCAATATCCAATGTGAATGGTAGTTATTAGTTGTGATGAAAACATCCATTTACTTTTCAGAAGTGTAATGCAGAAAAAGTGCTGCGTCATGCCTTCAGCAACCCCTAGTGTGAAAATGGACCATCAGACTTTTGTAAGACGAACATCTCTGGAAAATTCAGCCTTTTTTTAACTTTGAAACAAGCATTACCGTATTCGACATAATAAGCGCCCAGGGCACTCTCAAAATTAGAAATATGGGGCTCTTATTAGAATATCAATTTGGTGTGAAAAAAACAGTTGAAAGATAAATTTCGTGGTTTATGCTGACAGCCTGAAATGTTTATGTACGACAAATAAATTTTTCCAGAATTTAATTGCCCAAAACTAAGGGTGTATATAACACATGAGTGCGTATTATACGCGAATAAATAAGTCTTGTGTACATTGATCAAAGGGAAGGGGTGCTAATTGGGATTGTTCACAAGCCAATATATTAGCAAATATCGCCCAGGGCGTTTATTACGTCTAATATGGTAACTTGCATGGACCTTTTGGGTGAAAAGAATTGCTCCCATCTCTTGGACTATAACGTTTGAGTAAATTCTCAAAGGCTAAAGCAAGATAACCAGAGCCCTGATGTACTCCATACATAATGGGTCAACATGTCAAATTACCCTCACACAATCTAGTTCTTGTTGGCTTGGTTTGTTTGTTGTTTAACGCCACACTAAACAATATTCCAGCTATATGACCACAGTCAGTATATAAGTGAGTCTGGACCAGACAATCCAGTGACCAATATTATGAGCACTGATCATCCCCATCGAGGTACAATGACCTTGACAAACCATCAATCCAGTCACCGAGCCGGACCTCCTGATCCTGTTAGTTGCCCCTGACAGACATGGATTGCTGAAGATCATTTCTGAGGCAGGTCTAGCTCGTGTTGGTATGATCCAAACATACCAAATGGACCAACTAATGTCAAACAAAGGTCCATCTATACAGTTCTGATTCTGGCAGTGTACACCTTCATCATCACCAGACATGGAGGCACTAGTCCAGTGGTGGAAGCGTTCACCCGTCTCACCACAGGGCTTGATTCCCACACGGGTACAACATGTACAATGTGTAAAGTATTTTAGTGCAATTGGTTTTCGGAATTGGTTGATAGAAAAATGACCCTGCAAAGATATTCTTTAATGTTTACTTTGATAGTGTTTGTGAACAATGGTGAAGGCCAATGCTAAGTCAGATTTGACTCTCATGTCTACCTGTTACAAATTGGTTACTGTAGGAAGTACCCACTGAGGGTTCCCCGGGTCAGATAGTGTCCCCAGTATTCTGTGTTCGTCCATCTTCCCGAGGCAAAGGAGTTAACTGACTACAAAGTCCAGTTTCCACCCTTGCCAAGCTAGGATGGAACTTCGTGGCTTAATCGGAGCGCCACCAGCTGTTATAACCAGGTATGTCCCTTCTTTGTCCATCCTACTGACCAGTCAGATTCCACCTCTCATATCACTTGTATTTACTTCAAACAAAATGGCGGCTCCCAAGTCATGACGACCTGATTGATAATGAAGACCTATAGTGTCATAAAACGGGTCTTACTTCTCATCAAATTATTTGAGCACCTTGTTTAAAAACATGAAAAGATTACGAAACTATCTGTCAATGCCCGGTTGACGGTACGCATGCTTTGCAAATCCTGCAATCTATGTTGTTTATGAACTGGACGTCTAGTTCGTAGCGCGATTTTGATCGGACTATGCATAGACTCGTTAGTCAAGCTAAAATGTAACCCCTGAATTCCAGCCTCGTTTTGAAAGGGTGGAAACAGGACTTTTACAGTCAGTTAACTCCCTTGCCTAGGGAAGATGGTGTTTGTCGCAAAGCTGACTAAAATGGGCATCATTTGGCCAGGTTCATTGATTTTACTGATAGTGATATGCCTGGCACTGTGCCCTGGTGTTGATGATGGTAGCTCATGCCTTCAATCACTAGCTTGTGTGATCCAGACAAGATTATGTTCAGAATGTCATCACATAGTTGGTTGCAGATATTGAGTGACATTCACTCACCCACTGTAGCTGTGTGCATCCCACATGGAGATTCTGGCCGGGTTACATTTAGTATTATAGGGTGTTTTAATGGATCGGGCGGTCAGTCGTGTTGACTTGTTTGATAGAGTCACATTGTAACCTGATGGTGTAGATCACGACTCATAATATCAATCACTGGAATGTTTGGTTCTGACTCGATGATTTATTACGTACGACTGACCCGGGGCAAAACTTACTCAGTAATACTCACAGTTCAGGCGGGGAGGTACAAAAAAAAATCAATCAAAAGATTACTTAATTACCTTGAATTTATTTCATCAAGGAACGGCTGTAATTCGACTTCGTCCTTCTGCAGATCTCCCAGGGGACTTTGAACAATCACAGATCTCGCTCCTTCCAAGTCGATGTCAACCAGTTCTTTAGCAAGTTCAACACCGAACTTTCCTTTCAAGGACAGATTCGTACTTCGATTAAAACCCTTACAAAAAACCTTCTCGTCAATTTTGACGACGGGCACTTTAGTTGGGTCCTCTAGAATGTCACTAAGTTTGAATTCTGTCGTATAACACTTGTGCTTTGTCCAAAACAGCAGATGACGGCGTGATTCTTTCAGCACAATACTTAATGGATAAATATTGTCAGACGCGTCCAAGTTTGGGACTGGCAGTAAGGTGTCCTTCCCAAGTGACCGAACCACCTGGTGAACAGTCGAAGAAAACATTTTCTCTTGTAAGATGTCGAACGCTGTTCACCATTAACCAGCGTCTAGCTCAGATTGTTGTGGAAACGATGTCAAAAGGAAGTTATTTATGGATGAGAGTTAGCTCCCCTGAAGCATTACCTCATCTAGACTTGCAATGTGTCTCCTCCTTACTTATAACGGAATGCTCGACTGACGTATTGTAGAATGGAATCTGGCTGTTCTCGCGATCTTGTAACATGGCAGTTTTATAGTTGGATTTTAGTTAAACCTTTTCCGAAATAGGAAAGCAGTAGTTGATAGATTGTGGGGCGTCTGTGCTACGCTGACGAGGTACGGTCGAACGTACGCTAACACAACCAGCAGAGTGATGGTCAGAAGGTAGGAAATGGAAAACCCACCAGTTTTTTTCAGCACCGCAATTCACGGATCAGGGTTAGGCGTGCTAGGATACTATGATTGTGGGTTCGAATCCATATCCGTGCACCAAGATGGTATAAGCTTAGTACTGATGGTGCTATATGCCATCAATCAGCCCGCATACCCCGCCCTCTCACGCGCACACCCCTCCATGACACGTGTCACTGTGCTGACGCTGACGTGAACCTTGTATAAAGTATGTTACAGCGTTCTTGTTTCTACTCACAGTGGAACAATATTGTACATCTAACTTGACAATAACTGAAACAGTGTTCAAATCGACTCACTCACTCACTCACTCACTCACTCACTCACTCACTCACTCACTCACTCACTCACTCACTCACTCACTCACTCACTCACTCACTCACTCACTCACTCACTCACTCACTCACTCACTCACTCACTCACTCACTCACTCACTCACTCACTCACTCACTCACTCACTCACTCACTCACTCACTCACTCACTCACTCACTCACTCACTCACTCACTCACTCACTCACTCACTCACTCACTCACTCACTCACTCACTCACTCACTCACTCACTCACTCACTCACTCACTCACTCACTCACTCACTCACTCACTCACTCACTCACTCACTCACTCACTCACTCACTCACTCACTCACTCACTCACTCACTCACTCACTCACTCACTCACTCACTCACTCACTCACTCACTCACTCACTCACTCACTCACTCACTCACTCACTCACTCACTCACTCACTCACTCACTCACTCACTCACTCACTCACTCACTCACTCACTCACTCACTCACTCACTCACTCACTCACTCACTCACTCACTCACTCACTCACTCACTCACTCACTCACTCACTCACTCACTCACTCACTCACTCACTCACTCACTCACTCACTCACTCACTCACTCACTCACTCACTCACTCACTCACTCACTCACTCACTCACTCACTCACTCACTCACTCACTCACTCACTCACTCACTCACTCACTCACTCACTCACTCACTCACTCACTCACTCACTCACTCACTCACTCACTCACTCACTCACTCACTCACTCACTCACTCACTCACATACATGAAGGCCCCGGGGCTTTTCCCGAGCTCAAGGTAATACATTTTCAGCCAAAACTGAGGAGGCGTGTTTTATCCAAATTATGAACCGTCGTAATGCAAGAAATACCAGAAAAAATAAACAAAACATAGACATACCTTATAGTGAAACAATACAGTGTATAGCGGTATAAAAGGAATTTTGCTCAAAGCGTGCGAGATATAAAAACACGCGCAGCATTGACAAGCTGTAGTTTTGACATGACAAACTTAACAAATTCGCAAAAACTGTCCCGGTAGCTCAGTGGGAAAACATTGGATTACGAAACATAACACGATATGTGAGAATGCATGATCGATTCACGTCATAGATTTTCACTTTAAAAAAAAAGAAATGTGACTTTTAACCAACCATCAAACACAATTGTGTTCATATCAAGAGGCACGTTTACAAAAACCTAGGTACATGTATTACAATTGAAATGTATTCCCCAGGTCTCGGGATATCCACCGGAATTCCCCGGGCATTGTTGATATTGCCTGCCTTGAAGACCCTTCTCTTATTGTAGTGTGACGTCATCAGAAGTTTATAAGGGACGGACATACCCCAGTACCCCCTGTTTGTCTCCCGGGGATATTTAAGGGAAGGATATACATACCTCAGTACCATGTGTTTGTCTCCCGGGGATATTCTATGGAAGGATATATCTCAGTACCATGTGTTTGTCTCCCGGGGATATTCTATGGAAGGATATACCTCAGTACCATGTGTTTGTCTCCCGGGGATATTCTATGGAAGGATATATCTCAGTACCATGTGTTTGTCGCCCGGGGATATTTAAGGGAAGGATATACCCCAGTACCCCCTGTTTGTCTCCCGTGGATATTTAAGGGAAGGATATACCTCAGTACCATGTGTTTGTCTCCCGGGGATATTCTATGGAAGGATATATCTCAGTACCCCGTGTTTGTCGCCCGGGGATATTTAAGGGAAGGATATACCCCAGTACCCCCTGTTTGTCTCCCGGGGATATTTAAGGGAAGGATATACCTCAGTACCATGTGTTTGTCTCCAGGGGATATTTAAGGGAAGGATATATCTCAGTACCCCGTGTTTGTCTCCCGGGGATATTTAAGGGAAGGATATACCCCAGTACCCCCTGTTTGTCTCCCGTGGATATTTAAGGGAAGGATATACCTCAGTACCATGTGTTTGTCTCCCGGGGATATTCTATGGAAGGATATATCTCAGTACCCCGTGTTTGTCGCTCGGGGATATTTAAGGGAAGGATATACCTCAGTACCATGTGTTTGTCTCCCGGGGATATTCTATGGAAGGATATACCTCAGTACCATGTGTTTATCTCCAGGGGATGTTTAAGGGAAGGATATACCTCAGTACCATGTGTTTGTCTCCCGCGGATGTTTAAGGGAAGGATATACCCCAGTCCCCCCTGTTTGTCTCCCGGGGATATTCTATGGAAGGATATACCTCAGTACCATGTGTTTGTCTCCCGGGGATATTCTATGGAAGGATATATCCCAGTACCCCCTGTTTGTCTCCCGGGGATATTTAAGGGAAGGATATACCTCAGTACCCCGTGTTTGTCTCCCGGGGATATTTAAGGGAAGGATATACCCCAGTACCCCCTGTTTGTCTCCCGGGGATATTCTATGGAAAGATATACCTCAGTACCATGTGTTTGTCTCCCGGGGATATTTAAGGGAAGGATATACCTCAGTACCCCGTGTTTGTCTCCCGGGGATATTCTATGGAAGGATATACCTCAGTACCATGTGTTTATCTCCAGGGGATGTTTAAGGGAAGGATATACCTCAGTCCCATGTGTTTGTCTCCCGCGGATGTTTAAGGGAAGGATATACCCCAGTACCCCCTGTTTGTCTCCCGGGGATATTCTATGGAAGGATATATCCCAGTACCCCCTGTTTGTCTCCCGGGGATATTTAAGGGAAGGATATACCTCAGTACCATGTGTTTGTCTCCCGGGGATATTCTATGGAAGGATATATCTCAGTACCCCGTGTTTGTCGCCCGGGGATATTTAAGGGAAGGATATACCCCAGTACCCCCTGTTTGTCTCCCGGGGATATTTAAGGGAAGGATATACCTCAGTACCATGTGTTTGTCTCCAGGGGATAATTAAGGGAAGGATATATCTCAGTACCCCGTGTTTGTCTCCCGGGGATATTTAAGGGAAGGATATACCTCAGTACCATGTGTTTGTCTCCAGGGGATAATTAAGGGAAGGGTATATCTCAGTACCCCCTGTTTTTCTCCCGTGGATATTTAAGGGAAGGATATACCTCAGTACCATGTGTTTGTCTCCCGGGGATATTCTATGGAAGGATATATCTCAGTACCCCGTGTTTGTCGCCCGGGGATATTTAAGGGAAGGATATACCCCAGTACCCCCTGTTTGTCTCCCGGGGATATTTAAGGGAAGGATATACCTCAGTACCATGTGTTTGTCTCCCGGGGATATTCTATGGAAGGATATACCTCAGTACCATGTGTTTATCTCCAGGGGATGTTTAAGGGAAGGATATACCTCAGTACCATGTGTTTGTCTCCCGCGGATGTTTAAGGGAAGGATATACCCCAGTACCCCGTGTTTGTCTCCCGGGGATATTCTATGGAAGGATATACCTCAGTACCATGTGTTTGTCTCCCGGGGATATTCTATGGAAGGATATATCCCAGCACCCCCTGTTTGTCTCCCGGGGATATTTAAGGGAAGGATATACCTCAGTGCCATGTGTTTGTCTCCCGGGGATATTCTATGGAAGGATATATCCCAGTACCCCCTGTTTGTCTCCAGGGGATATTTAAGGGAAGGATATACCCCAGTACCCCGTGTTTGTCTCCCGGGGATATTTAAGGGAAGGATATACCCCAGTACCCCCTGTTTGTCTCCCGGGGATATTCTATGGAAAGATATACCTCAGTACCATGTGTTTGTCTCCCGGGGATATTTAAGGGAAGGATATACCTCATTACCCCGTGTTTGTCTCCCGGGGATATTCTATGGAAGGATATACCTCAGTACCATGTGTTTATCTCCAGGGGATGTTTAAGGGAAGGATATACCTCAGTACCATGTGTTTGTCTCCCGCGGATGTTTAAGGGAAGGATATACCCCAGTACCCCCTGTTTGTCTCCCGGGGATATTCTATGGAAGGATATATCCCAGTACCCCCTGTTTGTCTCCCGGGGATATTTAAGGGAAGGATATACCTCAGTACCATGTGTTTGTCTCCCGGGGATATTCTATGGAAAGATATACCTCAGTACCATGTGTTTGTCTCCCGGGGATATTTAAGGGAAGGATATACCCCAGTACCCCCTGTTTGTCTCCCGGGGATATTCTATGGAAGGATATACCTCAGTACCATGTGTTTGTCTCCCGGGGATATTCTATGGAAGGATATACCTCAGTACCATGTGTTTGTCTCCCGGGGATATTCTATGGAAGGATATACCTCAGTACCATGTGTTTGTCTCCCGGGGATGTTTAAGGGAAGGATATACCTCAGTACCCCGTGTTTGTCTCCCGGGGATATTCTATGGAAGGATATACCTCAGTACCATGTGTTTGTCTCCCGGGGGTGTTTAAGGGAAGGATATACCTCAGTACCATGTGTTTGTCTCCCGGGGATATTCTATGGAAGGATATACCTCAGTACCACGTGTTTGTCTCCCGGGGATGTTTAAGGGAAGGATATACCTCAGTACCACGTGTTTGTCTCCCGGGGATATTAAGGGAAGCTTATACCCCAGTACCACGTGTTTGTCTCCCGGAAATGGTCTATGAAATGATATACTTCAGTACCACGTGTTTGTCTCACGGGTATGTTCTAGGTAAGCTTATTCCCCAGTACCACGTGTTTATCTCCCGGAGATGTTCTATGGAAGGATATACCTCAGTACCATGTGTTTGTCTCCCGGAGATGTTCTATGAAATGATATACTTCAGTACCACGTGTTTGACTCCCGGGGATGTTCTATGAAATGATATACTTCAGTACCACGTGTTTGTCTCCCGGAGATGTTCTATGAAATGATATACTTCAGTACCACGTGTTTGTCTCCCGGGGATGTTCTATGGAAGGATATACCTCAGTACCATGTGTTTGTCTCCCGGAGATGTTCTATGAAATGATATCCTTCAGTACCATGTGTTTGACTCCCGGGGATGTTCTATGAAATGATATACTTCAGTACCACGTGTTTGTCTCCCGGAGATGTTCTATGAAATGATATACTTCAGTACCACGTGTTTGTCTCCCGGGGATGTTCTATGGAAGGACATATCGCGGTACCATGTGTTTGTCTCCCGGAGATGTTCTATGGAAGGATATACCTCAGTACCATGTGTTTGTCTCCCGGGGGTATACTTGTGTGTAGTTGAGGTCGAAATAGTTCCACGGGAAGGCGGCGTGTGTCGCTCTCGACAATGGCAGGACGTGTCACCCTACGCTACACCATCTGCAGTGCTGCACTGATTTCCTGAAGAACACGCATTGCTCACATGCGACGCTCATTAAATCTACAGACACACGTCAAGCAGGCCCCACATCCTGCCGACAGCAGGACATGTGAAGCGTCTGTAAAATACCTCAGAAACTACGGTGATTCTGTCAATTGCTTCAGCAGCTGTTGGAGTCATCACACAGTTGCTGCAACTAAAGATGAACCCGTAATGTTGTTCAGGCCACAACAAATTACATTTTTAGTTTTTCTGATTTTCTTTCTCTCAAAGAGACGACAGGAGTACCTTTGTCATTATTCACTGTTCATAATCGAAAATCATCACTAAAAATATTCCTTTTGTTCACAGTGAGTGAGTGAGTGAGTTGGGTTTAACGCCGCTTTTAACAGTATTCCAGTAATATCGCGGCGTGTCAGCTTAATGTGGGAGGAAAGCCCGAAGTGATGCAGGTCTAAGAGGTTTACCACTTCGGTGAAACCCACGAGCACGGGTATGGTGCTGACAAACCTAGAAACATAATCGGGGAGAATCGGGATTCGAACCCACAATCATAGGTTTCTGGCGTGCCCAAGGGACGCAACTCTGCACAGCGAATCGCGGCGCCTTAGACGACTGGGCCACCCGTGCCCCCTTTTGTTCACAGAAGAATGAGGAGCCCCCGAAGACAAGGTAATTAGAACACCGTGGCCCGGCCATGGTACACATGTGGCGATGACGCAGCCGCTGTCCATGTCGTCGGGTTTACAACTAAACATAAGACACAACGTAAACATTTTATTCTTTACTGTTGAGGATTCATAAAAAAACATAATAAATACATTGACAGATTTTACATATATAATAATAATGAGTTCAGTAATAACAAGTGCAGCTTCATCTGAGAACAGCCTACAACACTGCAACTGTATCTCAGAACATATCAAGACAACTTCATCTGAGAACAGCTTACGAGAAGACAACTGTAGTTGAGAACAGCTTACGAGAAGACAACTGTAGTTGAGAACAGCTTACGAGAAGACAACTGTAGTTGAGAACAGCTTACGAGAAGACAACTGTAGTTGAGAACTGTTCCCTCAGTTTACAATAATCTTACAACAGATGACAATATAGCTGCGCTAACAACAACCTTACCGCAGATGACAATATAGCTGCGCTGACAACAATCTTACCACAGATGACAATATAGCTGCGCTGACAACAATCTTACCACAGATGACAATATAGCTGCGCTGACAACACTCTTACCACAGATGACAATATAGCTGCGCTGACAATGCTGCTGCGGCTGGTATGTCGAACAATACATAAATTGCAAATAATTCGATGGTATTTGATTGGCTAACTAAGCAATGTTTATAGCGTTTATGATCGCATAAACCGAAAAGAACAATAGGCCTTAAAAGCAAAATTTTAAAATGAAGAAATCTTGGAAAGCATCTTTGGCAGGCAGAGAAATTTAAACTTATGTCAAAAAGAAGTCAGCATCAACATCCCACGTTAATTCGTAAATATCTAATAAATATAATATATTCCACTGTAACGTATTTAGGCCACGTGGTGCTTCAGCTCTTTCTAGCCCTTGATCATTACTCGATGACTATCTGTAACGTTATGTGAATCCTACACATAATGTTTATGATAATGTCATCGGCAAACGAGCGATGTTTCTAAATCGGCTGTGGTATCTTGCAGTGAGCGAGTGAGTGAGAATGGTTTAACGCCGCTTTTAGCAACAGTCCAGCAATATCATGGCGGGGCACACCAGACATAGGGTTAAACGCCGCTTTTAGCAACAGTCCAGTAATATCATGGCGGGGCACACCAGACATAGGGTTAAACGCCGCTTTTAGCAACAGTCCAGTAATATCATGGCGGGGCACACCAGACATAGGGTTAAACGCCGCTTTTAGCAACAGTCCAGTAATATCATGGCGGGGCACACCAGACATAGGGTTAAACGCCGCTTTTAGCAACAGTCCAGCAATATCATGGCGGGGCACACCAGACATAGGGTTAAACGCCGCTTTTAGCAACAGTCCAGTAATATCATGGCGGGGCACACCAGACATAGGGTTAAACGCCGCTTTTAGCAACAGTCCAGCAATATCATGGCGGGGCACACCAGACATAGGGTTAAACGCCGCTTTTAGCAACAGTCCAGTAATATCATGGCGGGGCACACCAGACAAAGGGCTTAACACATTGTCCCCACGTGGGGAATCAATCCCGGGTCTTTAGCGTGACGAGCGAAGGCTTTAACCACTAGGCTACCATGCCACTCCGGTACCCCGCAGTGGTTGCATCTGTGCATGGCACAGTCGATCACAAACTGGCACATCAAACAAAGTTTCTGTACAGTAGGCACAAGACAGGGGTCCACTAGACAGGGGACCACTAGACAGGGGGCCACTAGACAGGGGGCCACTAGACAGGGGGCCACTAGACAGGGGACCACTAGGCGGGGGACCAATAGACAGGGGGCCACTAGACAGGGGACCACTAGACAGGGGACCACTAGATGGGGGACCACTAGACGGGGAACCACTAGACAGGGGGCACTAGACGGGGGACCACTAGACGGGGGACCACTAGACAGGGGGCCACTAGACAGGGGACCACTAGACATGGGACCACTAAACAGGGGACCACTAGACGGGGGCCACTAGACAGGGGACCACTAGACAGGGGACCACTAGACGGGGGCACTAGACGGGGGGCCACTAGACAGGGGACCACTAGACAGGGGACCACTAGACGGGGGCCACTAGACGGGGGGCACTAGACGGGGGACCACTAGACAGGGGACCACTAGACAGGGGGCCACTAGACGGGGGACCACTAGACGGGGGACCAATAGACAGGGGGCCACTAGACAGGGGACCACTAGACAGGGGGCCACTCGACAGGGGACCACTAGACAGGGGACCACTAGACAGGGGACCACTAGACATGGGACCACTAAACAGGGGGCCACTAGGCGGGGGGCCACTAGACAGGGGACCACTAGACAGGGGACCACTAGACAGGGGGCCACTAGACGGGGGACCACTAGACGGGGGACCAATAGACAGGGGGCCACTAGACAGGGGGCCACTAGACAGGGGACCACTAGACAGGGGGCCACTAGACGGGGGACCACTGGACGGGGGGGGGGGGGGGGCACTAGACAGAGGACCACTAGACAGGGGCCACTAGACGGGGGACCACTAGACGGGGGGGGCACTAGACGGGGGACCACTAGACGGGGACCACTAGACAGGGGGCCACTAGACAGGGGGCCACTAGACAGGGGACCACTAGACGGGGGCCAATAGACAGGGGGCCACTAGACAGGGGACCACTAGACAGGGGACCACTAGACGGGGGGCCAATAGACAGGGGGCCACTAGACGGGGACCACTAGACGGGGGCACTAGACGGGGGACCACTAAACAGGGGACCACTAGACAGGGGACCACTAAACGGGGGACCACTAGACAGGGGACCACTAGACAGGGGGCCACTAGACGGGGGACCAATAGACAGGGGGACCAATAGACAGGGGGCCACTAGACAGGGGACCACTAGACAGGGGGCCACTCGACAGGGGACCACTAGACAGGGGACCACTAGACAGGGGACCACTAAACAGGGGGCCACTAGACGAGGGCCACTAGACAGGGGACCACTAGACAGGGGGCCACTAGACGTGGGACCACTAGACGTGGGACCAATAGACAGGGGGCCACTAGACAGGGGGCCACTAGACAGGGGACCACTAGACAGGGGTCCACTTGACAGGGGGCCACTAGACAGGGGACCAATAGACAGGGGGCCACTAGACAGGGGACCACTAGACAGGGGGCCACTAGACAGGGGACCAATAGACGCCGTTTTGTATTTGTTTCTTTGCATTTTAGCGCCGCAACCATCAACGTCGCAGCTAAATGACGGCGCTAAGTAAATAATCGATATTCTTATCCAAACTCCCCAGGGAATCCCGCCGTTTTGAAAATAACATTACTTTAACTGAACATGCAGAAAGTCAAAATTATTAAATCAAAATTTATGTGTCACAAGTGTCCAAATGCTTGTGAGACCTGGATTCTTGTGTGTCGCCGTTCTTCCTCGTCGTGGATGTGTGTTCATGCCATCAACCACTGGTGTATCTTGGCAACACACGCCGTCGTCATATAGATTTGCGAGTATTGACAAATTGGCGTAGAAACTGGCGAGATTATATTTCCGTGGTGTAGTTGCTGCTCCTTTCTAATCCCAGAACGAGGAAGAATATTAGAGAAATTAGTGAAATAACAATAAGATAGAACCGGAAGAACAGGGTATCACAGGCCCGCGCAATGTCCTTCCATCCCAGTTCAGCCGTGCTGCTGGCGGCGGATGACGCCCGGTCACTGAAGTCGCCCAGAGACCTCTTCTGGTTGGCCTTGATCCGGATGTTCGGAATGCCCTTGAACTGGGTCTCTTCTCCAACGATGTCCGTATTGCTGGCGGAGACTGTTCCCGACTTCCGGCAGCCACGGGAACAGACCAGAGGCATGATGACCACCCTGGTGGTCTGCCCCAACCAGTACGGCACCTCGCCCTCCCGGTAGTGGAAGTCAAGCACGATGACAGTCAGCAGCACGGACAGTCCGCTAAGACACAGGACCACAGCCAGGTAGACAGCTGAAACACAAGAAAACCACAAGAAATACAATCCCAGGATTACAGCCAGGTAGACAGCTGAAACACAAGAAATACAATCCCAGGATCACAGCCAGGTAGACAGCTGAAACACAAGAAATACAATCCCAGGATCACAGCCAGGTAGACAGCTGAAACACAAGAAATACAATCCCAGGATCACAGCCAGGTAGACAGCTGAAACACAAGAAATACAATCCCAGGATCACAGCCAGGTAGACAGCTGAAACACAAGAAATACAATCCCAGGATCACAGCCAGGTAGACAGCTGAATCACAAGAAATACAATCCCAGGATCACAGCCAGGTAGACAGCTGAAACACAAGAAATACAATCCCAGGATCACAGCCAGGTAGACAGCTGAATCACAAGAAATACAATCCCAGGATCACAGCCAGGTAGACAGCTGAAACACAAGAAATACAATCCCAGGATCACAGCCAGGTAGACAGCTGAAACACAAGAAATACAATCCCAGGATCACAGCCAGGTAGACAGCTGAAACACAAGAAATACAATCCCAGGATCACAGCCAGGTAGACAGCTGAAACACAAGAAATACAATCCCAGGATCACATGTGGCTGCATCATTATCCATCATATGATTTGTTTGTTTGTTTGTTTGTTTGTTTGTTGTTTAACGCCGCATGGGTACAATGTGTGAATCCCATTTCTGGTGTCCCCCGCCTTGATATTGCTGGAATATTGCTAAGACTATATTTATTATTACTACTTCATCTTCTACCACTACATCTTCTACCACAACATCAACTACCACTACTGCGTCTACTGCTACTACGTTTTCATTACATCAAGCAGTGTCTTACCCACGTAGGAGGTGTTGTTGGAGTTTGTGGGCATTCGGTCAGCAATGAAGATCAGGATCTACTACCACTACGCCCACTACTACTACGCCTACAACTACGTCTATTACCACTACGCCAACCCGTTTCTTACCCATGTAGGAGGTGTTGCGGGAGGTGGTGGGCATGCTGTCGGCGATGAGAGTCAGGAAGACAGCAAAGGCGAGAAGCACCGTGAGGGAGTAGCCCATCTTCTCCCCGCTGTCCGGAGGCAGGACGAACACCAGGGCCGACAGGATGGACAGAACCACCACGGGAAGGATGATGTTGATGCCATAGTAGTCCGGCTTCCGCTGTAGATTGAAGACGAAGGACACTGCCGCGTACGTTTCCGAGTCAACATCCTGGATCTTTTCAGATCTTTCGCTGTAAGCTTTATTCAAGTTCCACTCACCGTTCCTCTCAAACTCAGCTGTCTCCACGCCAGAGCCGTACTTGAACAGGTCGAGCTCCCGGAGGTTATAGCCCCAGCTCTGCAGGACCACAGAACATTCCTGGGAGTCGAAGGGGTAGTAGGTGATGTCAATGTCGCAGTGGGTTGTATAAATTCCGGGTGGATTCCAGGAAACTTTGCCCTCGTTGGTGACTCTCATGGGGATATTCTCGTTGGCGATGACGTCTAAATTGTCGATCCTGGAACCAAACATGGACTGTTTAACAAATACAGTAAACTACGGTTATAACGAACACGCTTATAACGAACTGACGGATATAACGAACTTACTTTTTGGTCCCGACTACTTGCTGTAGTTATGCTGTGTATATGCTTATAACGAACTACGGTTATAACGAACTAAAATTAGTAGTCCCTTTGAGTTCGTTATAACCGTACTTTACTGTAAGACGTTTAAGGACTCCACCATGCAGAGTCACAAACCGCTGGCCCTAAAATATTCTGATAGGCACGGACTCCCCTCGCTTCCACCCCCTCACTTCCACCCCCTCACTTCCACCCCCTCACTTCCACCCCCTCGCTTCCACCCCCTCACTTCCACCCCCTCACTTCCACCCCCTCACTTCCACCCCCTCGCTTCCACCCCCTCGCTTCCACCCCCTCGCTTCCACCCCCTCACTTCCACCCCCTCACTTCCACCCCCTCACTTCCACCCCCTCACTTTCACCCCCTCGCTTCCACCCCCTCACTTTCACCCCCTCACTTCCACTTGAAACTGGTTGAACCCCCCTCTTAGCAGGGTCATTGTATACACTTATTTTCCGGAAACTTACGCGTTCTTCACAACCAGTGAGGGTCGCCATATTTCCGTCTCGTCCGCAAAAAAGAACCCAATGCCGGTGTACGCTGCAGGAGTCCATCTGAGCCGGGTGTCGTTCCATATCTACGGATGGAGAGCACAATAACCATAATACATTTGTTTAGTACCGAATAGAAAATGTTACCCCATCTGCTAGTGTTTGATTTATGACAACAATACATGTGGCAGGTCTTCTAGTTTTATCGGTATAAAAAAAGGCCCGATTATTCGTACATTGCTGAGGAACCAAGGGTCATAATCGAGTCAAATATGGAATTGAATCCAAGTGGATCCGGGCAACAAAGGATGGCAATTCAATTTGATATTTCTGTTGTTCCATTTCTGTACATGATTACAGACTGCTTCATCCGGTTCGTCCCAGTCAAAACTGACCAGCCTTTCACTAGTTGCCAAAGAGGATCAATTGTAGCCAGGGTTTTCAATGTAGCCCCCAGCACCATCACAATGCTATGAGATCTGTTTCAACAGTAGTGTGAACACGTGATCGGCCAAGATCGCTACATCCGACTGCGCCACCTGCGCGAAAGACGACCACAGCCACCTCAACCGCATCCCAAATACCCGGACTGCGCAGAATCTCCGACCAGACCGTACGAAACCGTTTAAGAGCAGCAGGTCATATTGAGTCGACAACATCGTCAACAACGACTGCATTGGTGTCGTCAACACAGGGTTTGCCCTCAACTGCAACGGAGAGATGTCTGGTTCAGCGACGAATCGAGATTTCTCCTCCGTCGAGGGGATGGAAGAGCACGGGTCTACAGTCGTCGGGGAGAACGTTACGCCGGAAACTGCGTACAGGAAGTAGACAGGTTTGGTGAGGGTAGCGTTATGATGTGGGTGGCTATCTCTCATCACGACAGGACAGGTTTGGTCCATATCCAGGGCAATCTTACGGCTCAACGATACATCAACGAAATTCCCCTACAACACGTCCACCCAATTTCAGCCAACGGCAACGGTGTATTCCAGCATGACAACGCTCGACCGCATACAGCACGGATCACAAGAGCCTGTCTACACAGCAACAACGTTGATGTTCTCCCCTAGCCCGCCAGATACCCGGATTTCAACCCGATAGAGCACATGCGGGATGTCTTGGATTGACGGCTACGCCGACGTCAACCACAACCCCAGAATTAACCTCTTTCAGTTATAAGTCCAATTATGCAGATATTATGTATTTTGTAGAAAAATTATATTGCTGATTTGAAACAGTCATTGTTAATATATAAATATGCAAATAAAGAATATCACTACCATGACAGTGTGGGTTCGAATCCCGGATGGGAGTCAACTCCAAAAAAGTACTAGAATCTGTACTTTATTAAGAAAGTGTTATCCCAAAATATAACATTTATCACCTTGACAGGTTATTTAGAGGTATTGTTTATTGTTCATTTTGTAAGACCAGTAGTACCTGACCACGTGGACTGTTATGGTCGTGTGTATCGTGGTTGAGTACCCAATGCTTTAACTTCAATATAACGCCATCAAATTTATGGGCAGCTCAACTGCTGCAGACATATGGTCCGTTTCAGTTTCACGTATACTGAACACAATAGTTAGGGAACCTGAATATTTTGGGGCATATTTTTATGAAATTGTGTACCCAGTCTTCTCTACCAAAATGTCCCCCAAAATATTCATGAGCCCGAACTAATTAAGTGTAACTGAAACTGACTCAGGTGATAAGCCTTCTGTGCTTTCTTATATTTTGTTGTTGAGTATATATACCTCTTTTAAGTTAATGAGTTTGGATTACGGTATCAAAAGACAACATGAGGAGAATGCATAGCTTAATAAAACACCCAGATTCATCAGGAACAAACAACACAAATGCACGCCAACAGAAACCTCGATGTGATTAATGGAAAGCACGATTTGCCGACGCAATACACCAGTCTGGTTAATGGAGGACAATAGAGCGTGACCATGTAGTAGTACAAAGGTTTTACAGCATGCCATACTCTGGCTGTGATATATTGCTTAATGGTGTGTATGGAACATCAACCTAAGTAGGTCTTCAGCACTCGTGTACATTTCGAACCGCCATGTGTGTTTGTAGCTCGTCAGGTGTGTGTGTGTGTGTGTTTGTAGCTCGTATATGATCAACACCCGTCATGTGTGTGTTTGTAGCTCGTACATCAACACCCGCCTGTGTGTGTTTGTAGCTCGTATATCAACACCCGCCATGTGTGTTTGTACCTCGTATACACAACACTCGCCATGTGTGTATTTGTAGCTCGTATATCAACACCCGCCACGTGTGTGGGTTTTGGTAGCTCGTATATCAACACTCGCCACTTGTGTGTTTGTAGCTCGTATATCAACACTCGCCATGTGTGTGGTGTAGCTCGTATATCAACACTCGCCATTTGTGTGTTTGTAGCTCGTATACACAACACTCGCCATGTGTGTGGTGTAGCTCGTATATCAACACCGCCCTGTGTGTGGGTTTTGGTAGCTCGTATATCAACACCCGCGATGTGTGTGGTGTAGCTCGTATATCAACACTCGCCATTTGTGTGTTTGTAGCTCGTATATCAACACTCGCCATGTGTGTGGTGTAGCTCGTATATCAACACTCGCCATGTGTGTGGTGTAGCTCGTATATCAACGCTCGCCATTTGTGTGTTTGTAGCTCGTATACACAACACTCGCCATGTGTGTGGTGTAGCTCGTATATCAACACTCGTCATTTGTGTGTTTGTAGCTCGTATACACAACACTCGCCACGTGTGTGGTGTAGCTCGTATATCAACACTCGCCATTTGTGTGTTTGTAGCTCGTATACACAACACTCGCCATTTCTGTGTTTGTAGCTCGTATATCAACACCCGCCACGTGTGTGGTGTAGCTCGTATATCAACACTCGCCATGTGTGTGGTGTAGCTCGTATATCAACACCCGCCACGTGTGTGGTGTAGCTCGTATATCAACACCCGCCACGTGTGTGGTGTAGCTCGTATATCAACACCCGCCACGTGTGTGGTGTAGCTCGTATATCAACACCCGCCACGTGTGTGGTGTAGCTCGTATGTCAACACCCGCCACGTGTGTTTGTACCTCGTATATCAACACTCGCCATTTGTGTGTTTGTAGCTCGTATATCAACACCTGCCACGTGTGTGTTCGTTGCTCGTATATCAACACCCGCCGTGTGTGTGTGTGTGCGTGCGTGAGTGCGTGCGTGCGTGCGTGCTTGCGTGCGTGCGTGCGTGCGTGCGTGCGTGCGTGCGTGCGTGCGTGTCATATTTCAACACCCGTCATGTGTGTGTGTTTGTAGCTCGTATATCAACATCCGCCATGTGTGTGTGTGTTGGTAAACGAGCTACAAACACACACATGGCGAGTGTTGATATAAGAGCTTAGGAACATATTGTGATTGTTCTATTTGTTACAATCCCTTCCGGGGCGGTAGCCTAGTGGTTAAAGCGTTCGCTCGTCACGCCGAAAACCCGGGTTCGATTCCCGACATGGGTACAATGTGTGAAGCCCATTTCTGGTGTCCCCCGCCGTGATATTGCTGGAATATTGCTAAAAACGGCGTAAAAACATACTCACTCACTAACCATCCATACTGTGAGATCAGTTTTAATCATCCACACTGTGAGATCAGTTTTAACCATCTATACTGTGAGATCAGTTTTAACCATCCATACTGTGAGAGCAGTTTTAATCATCCATACTGTGAGATCAGTTTTAACCATCCATACTGTGAGATCAGTTTTAATCATCCACACTGTGAGATCAGTTTTAACCATCCATACAGTGAGATCAGTTTTAACCATCCATACTGTGAGATCAGTTTTAACCATCTATACTGCGAGAGCAGTTTTAACCATCCATACTGCGAGATCAGTTTTAATCATCCATACAGTGAGATCAGTTTTAACCATCCATACTGTGAGATCAGTTTTAATCATCCACACTGTGAGATCAGTTTTAACCATCCATACAGTGAGATCAGTTTTAACCATCCATACTGTGAGATCAGTTTTAACCATCTATACTGCGAGAGCAGTTTTAACCATCCACACTGCGAGATCAGTTTTAATCATCCATACAGTGAGATCAGTTTTAACCATCTATACTGTGAGATCAGTTTTAATCATCCACACTGTGAGATCAGTTTTAACCATCCATACTGTGAGAGCAGTTTTAACCATCCACACTGTGAAATCAGTTTTAATCATCCATACTGTGAGATCAGTTTTAATCATCCATACTGTGAGATCAGTTTTAACCATCCATACTGTGAGATCAGTTTTAACCATCCATACTGTGAGATCAGTTTTAATCATCCACACTGTGAGATCAGTTTTAACCATCCATACTGTGAGATCAGTTTTAATCATCCATACTGTGAGATCAGTTTTAACCATCTATACAGTGAGATCAGTTTTAACCATCCATACAGTGAGATCAGTTTTAATCATCCACACTGTGAGATCAGTTTTAACCATCCATACTGTGAGATCAGTTTTAACCATCCATACTGTGAGATCAGTTTTAATCATCCACACTGTGAGATCAGTTTTAACCATCCATACTGTGAGATCAGTTTTAACCATCCATACAGTGAGATCAGTTTTAAACATCCACACTGTGAGATCAGTTTTAACCATCTATACTGTGAGATCAGTTTTAACCATCCATACTGTGAGAGCAGTTTTAATCATCCATACTGTGAGATCAGTTTTAACCATCCATACTGTGAGAGCAGTTTTAATCATCCACACTGTGAGATCAGTTTTAACCATCTATACTGTGAGATCAGTTTTAACCATCCATACTGTGAGATCAGTTTTAACCATCTATACTGCGAGAGCAGTTTTAACCATCCATACTGCGAGATCAGTTTTAATCATCCATACAGTGAGATCAGTTTTAACCATCTATACTGTGAGATCAGTTTTAATCATCCACACTGTGAGATCAGTTTTAACCATCCATACAGTGAGATCAGTTTTAACCATCCACACTGTGAGAGCAGCTTTAACCATCCATACCGTGAGAGCAGCTTTAATCATCCATACAGTGAGATCAGTTTTAACCATCCATACTGTGAGATCAGTTTTAACCATCTATACTGTGAGATCAGTTTTAACCATCCATACCGTGAGAGCAGTTTTAACCATCCATACTGTGAGAGCAGTTTTAATCATCCATACTGTGAGATCAGTTTTAACCATCCATACTGTGAGATCAGTTTTAATCATCCACACTGTGAGATCAGTTTTAACCATCCATACAGTGAGATCAGTTTTAACCATCCATACTGTGAGATCAGTTTTAACCATCTATACTGCGAGAGCAGTTTTAACCATCCATACTGCGAGATCAGTTTTAATCATCTATACAGTGAGATCAGTTTTAACCATCCATACTGTGAGATCAGTTTTAATCATCCACACTGTGAGATCAGTTTTAACCATCCATACAGTGAGATCAGTTTTAACCATCCACACTGTGAAAGCAGCTTTAACCATCCATACCGTGAGAGCAGCTTTAATCATCCATACAGTGAGATCAGTTTTAACCATCCATACTGTGAGATCAGTTTTAACCATCTATACTGTGAGATCAGTTTTAACCATCCATACCGTGAGAGCAGTTTTAACCATCCATACCGTGAGAGCAGCTTTAACCATCCATACTGTGAGATCAGTTTTAACCATCCATACTGTGAGATCAGCTTTAACCATCTATACTGCGAGAGCAGTTTTTACCATCCATACTGTGAGATCAGTTTTTACCATCCATACTGTGAGAGCAGTTTTAACCATCCATACTGTGAGATCAGTTTTAACCATCCATACTGTGAGATCAGTTTTAACCATCCATACTGTGAGATCAGTTTTAACCATCTATACTGTGAGAGCAGTTAACCACCCATACACACTGTGGCAGCAGTGACAATAGTGTAATGATTTCTACCCGGCACCCAGATGACATGACGTCACTTACCACTGTGAAGTACCCGGATATTGAAAACGTTTGCGTGCGCGTTACCTGAAACAAAGAATAAGCATATTACATGAAACGTATTTAACACAATGTGTCTATCATTGATCGCATGATACTCAAAGTAATTTACAAACAATTCAATTCTTTTTTGTTCAAAAGGCCACAGGCACATATCCAATTGTGTTACATCAGGGGCCGGTCATTTATTTTAGGGAAGGGTGGGTCAGAGTGAATCAGGGCGTGGTCACCAAAATGTATAACACTCTGCTACAACACCATGTTTTCAGACGAATCATGGTTTTGCCCCCGATTCACAAATGGCAGAAAACGTTGTTGCCGACGTAGCGGCGAGCGGTATGCCAGGGCAACAATTCTTGACCATGATCGGTATGAGGTGGTCGTGTCATGGTGTGTGGGGCGGTATCACACATGACAGGCGAACTGATTTGGTTATTGTGAATGGATACTTGACTGGCCAGCGATATGTTGACGGAATTAATTGTCCGTCCTGTCGTTGCTCTGTTCGCTAGAATTATCGACTGAATGTTTGAATTGCAAGATGACAATGCCAGACCACATCGTGCCAAGGTCGTCACCGATTATCTCCGACGAGAAGGCCTACAGACATTGGACTGGCCCGCTATGTGCCCTGTGCATGTATCACACAACATGGTGGACACACCAGATAGTGATCTACACACCGACATTACTTTTACAGACATATATCGTCATAACACCTTCACTATCATTTCATCAGTTCCCATATCTTTTCTCGGGAGTAGGTACTTTCTGTCCCCGTATCAGGGTGGCTTTACCGCTAAGTCCTTGACCTACCAGTTGGTTTATGGTGAGGAGGTTGAAGACGAGGTTGATTGAGGTGACGCCGTCGGGACGACTCTTAAGGGAGTAGTTGGCGAGGAGGTCCGTCCGCAGTTGTGTCTCGTTACCGACATTGTAACTAGACACCCCTGTAACTGAAACAAGTGAGCGAGTGAGGGAGACTGACATCATCGTTAGGAACAAGGTGAGTGAGTGAGTGAGAGAGACTTACATCATCTTTAGGAACAAGGTGAGTGAGTGAGTGAGAGAGACTTACATCATCTTTAGCAACAAGGTGAGTGAGTGAGTGAGACTTACATCGTCTTTAGCAACACACACATACATGTCATACTCGATAGGCGACAAACAGAATGATTGTCAAACGGGACCCCCGAATTTAAGAAATGACATGTGACAAAATGACGTCGTGGAATTCAGTTGTCCTAGTAAATTCAATATATTGGTTTATGCCCCATGAGCATCAATGCAAGAGCGACATCTTCTGGACATATTAAAGATCAAACGGTTCCATTCTACCATCATCCGATCTGTCCTGTTGACATATGTGATGCTAGCCGAGACCATGATGCCACAACCCTACCTATCGTGCGCCGGATAGTGCCCCCTTCCACGCCGCCTCCTAACACGTTGTCTACCCTTTGTAAAGCGTAAATATAACCTCGATTCATCAGAAAACATGGTGTGTGTCCAATGCCGGTGTTGACGACCTCCAAACTACAATACCACTGTTGTCTGAGGCGCCTCTGTGCTACAGTCAGACGCAGTCTTGATTTCAAACCCATAGTTTTCAACCTGTATCGTTGACGTCGAAAGTCGGATTCCTGTGACAGCCCCGACGTTGCCCCTCACTGAGTCAGGGTGTCAGACTCCTAGATTTACCAACGTGTCTGGCAACTGCATTCTGACTGACTAGCTTCAATCATGCCTACAGCACGAAATGTTTCATTCTCTGCCATGTGCACATTTGGAGGCATGTACTTTCTTTGTACCCGATGAATGAACCACGTGGCTGTGACGTTAAGTGGTTCATGCCAGTTACCAGGATGTGCCACCGTGGACCACGTGGTGTACTTGTGCAGTGTGCGAAGTTTGAGGGAGTTTGCTGTCGGCGTTCTGCACGTGTGTCTCGTGCAACAAAGGTGGTCATTTCATTCTTATAGCTAACATGGCTGAAGGGTTCCCTTAAATATTGTACCTAGTGTATCTATAAAATGATGTTTGTTTGTTTGTTTCTTGTTTAACGCGGTCTGTAGATAATCGAGTCAGGGCCGGACATTTCGGTGATTGACATCATGAGCATCAATCCACGCAATTGGGATACGATGACATATATTAACCAAGTCAGCGAGCCTGACCACCCGATCCAGTTAGTCGCCTCTTACGACATGCATAGTCGCCTTTCACGGTTGGTTGGTTTGTTTGTTGTTTAACGCCGCACTCAGCAATAGTCCAGCTATATGACGGCGGTCTGTAAATAATCGAGTCTGGACCAGACAATCAAGTGATTGATATCATGAGCATCAATCCACGCAATTGGGATCGATGAAATGCATGAACAAAGTCAGCGAGCCTGACCAACCGATCCCGTTAGTCGCCTTTTACGACAAGCATAGTCACCTTTTACGGCAAGCATGGGTTGCTGAAGAGCTATTCTACCCCGAACCTTCACGGGTATTTTATAGAATGAAGGACGGGGGACACATATTTCATTGAGTCACCTTGTACCAACCTCACACAGACATCGATGTATAGATCTCCACGTACAAACTGGCATATTTTAATGTGGCTGTGGTATCGAGCTGTGGCACAGTCTGTTTTCTCAAATAATGACTTTGTGTGGTTTGAGTCACACGGAGAGCCAGGTTATTGAAGGCTGCAAATGCCAATTGTCACGAAACTAGAAGATTAAAACCGCAGTCTGGATTCTATGTTTGAGACCCGTGTTTGTTGGACATCTAACAACATAACGGGTTGTATGTTGAACGATGTTGTTTCATGGAAAACGCAAATATTTCTATGTTGCTGGGGACATACCACGTTTTCCCTTACACGTTTAGTTTATTCCACTTGGATGGTGTTTGTTTGAGTTAATTGGATAGCATTAACTAATTGATAGTTGATATCATTTACAGAAAACTGAGATTTAGATCGCTGTATATGTAATGAGTAATGTTTTAACGCTGCACACCGGACAATGAGTGAGTGAGTGATTGTTTTCTAATGCATGACCGTGACTCAACCGGTGTCATCGCATCACCACGACCATGACAACACGACACCCGGTGTCATCGCATCACCACATCCATGGCAACACGACACCCGGTGTCACCGCATCACCACGACCACGACAACACGACACCCGGTGTCATCGCATCACCACGACCTGACAACACGACACCCGGTGTCATCGCATCACCACGGCCATGGCAACACGACACCCGGTGTCATCGCATCACCACGACCTGACAACACCCGGTGTCATCGCATCACCACGACCATGACAACACCCGGTGTCATCGCATCACCCCGGCCATGACAACACCCGGTGTCATCGCATCACCACGACCATGACAACACCCGGTGTCATCGCATCACCCCGACCATGACAACACCCGGTGTCATCGCATCACCCCGACCATGACAACACCCGGTGTCACCGCATCACCACGACCATGGCAACACACAGTGTCATCGCACTACCCCGGCCATGATAACACGACACCAGGTGTCATCGCATCACCACGGCCATGACAACACGACACTGAAGCTGTGTAATGGCTATATCTCCTACTGTTTGGAGGGAGAGCGGCGCGTCCACCACAGCATGGTAACCTCCTGTCACGGATAAAACCAGCACCAAGCCTTTTAATGTGATTATATATTTGTCCATTAAAGGTGTTTGTGGAGTGGGGAGTCCTTCAATGTGATGTAGATGTGTGTGAGCGACAAGATCTAGATAAATAAACACACATGCACTTATCTAAACTCACACAAACACTTCTAAACACATGTACACGTGTGAACACACCTACACCGATCTAAACACATATGTACATGTGTAAAAAAGCATGCACCGATCTAAACACACATGTGCACGTGTAAACAAACATACACAGACGTAGATACACATGTACACGTGTAAACAAACATACGCAGGTGTAAACACGCATGTACACGTGTAAACACACATACACCGATCTAAACACACATGTAAACATGTCAACAAACATACGGCGATCTAAACACACATGTACACGTGTAAACAATCATACACCCGTCTGAACACACATGTGCACATGTAAACAAACATACGTAGGTGTAAACACACATGTACACGTGTAAACACACATACACCGATCTAAACACACATGTAAACATGTAAACAAACATACGGCGATCTAACACACATGTACACGTGTAAACAAACATACACCCGTCTGAACACACATGTACACGTGTAAACAAACACACACCCGTCTGAACACACATGTACACGAGTAAACAAACATACACCGATCTCAACACATAATCCATTTTTATGTTTCTAGCCGCAATATAGCTGTAATACTGTTAAAAGCGTCGTTAAACCCAACTGACTCACTCACTATAGTACAGACAGAAGTTCTCTATAGTATAGTACAAGCTCTCTATAGTATAGTCCAAGCTCTCTATAGTATAGTACAAACTCTCTATAGTATAGTACAAGCTCTCTATAGTATAGTACAAACTCTCTATGGTATAGTACAAGCTCTCTATAGTATAGTACAAGTTCTCTATAGTATAGTACACGCTCTCTATAGTATAGTACAAACTCTCTATGGTATAGTACAAGCTCTCTATAGTATAGTACAAGCTCTCTATAGTATAGTACACGCTCTCTATAATATAGTACAAGCTCTCTATGGTATAGTACAAGCTCTCTATGGTAAAGTACAAGCTCTCTATAGTATAGTACAAGCTCTCTATGGTATAGTACAAGCTCTCTTTAGTATAATACAAGCTCTCTATAGTATAGACACAAGCGCTCTATGCTATAGACACAAGCTCTCTATTGTATAGTACAAGCTCTCTATATAGTACAGTACAAGCTCTCCATAGTAAAGTACAAACTCTCTATGGTATAGTACAAGCTCTCTATAGTATAGTACAAACTCTCTGTAGTATAGTACAAGCTCTCTATGGTATAGTACAAACTCTCTATAGGTAGTACAAGCTCTCTATAGTATAGTACAAGCTCTCTATGGTATAGTACAAGCTCTCTATAGTATAGTACAAGCTCTCTATAGTATAGTACAAGCTCTCTATAGTATAGTACAAGCTCTCTATTGTATAGTACAAGGTCTCTATAGTATAGTACAAGTTCTCCATAGTATAGTACAAGCTCTCTATAGTATAGTACAAGCTCTCTATGGTATAGTACAAGCTCTCTATGGTAAAGTACAAGCTCTCTATAGTATAGTACAAGCTCTCTATGGTATAGTACAAGCTCTCTTTAGTATAATACAAGCTCTCTATAGTATAGACACCAGCGCTCTATGCTATAGACACAAGCTCTCTATTGTATAGTACAAGCTCTCTATATAGTACAGTACAAGCTCTCCATAGTAAAGTACAAACTCTCTATGGTATAGTACAAGCTCTCTATAGTATAGTACAAACTCTCTGTAGTATAGTACAAGCTCTCTATGGTATAGTACAAACTCTCTATAGGTAGTACAAGCTCTCTATAGTATAGTACAAGCTCTCTATGGTATAGTACAAGCTCTCTATAGTATAGTACAAGCTCTCTATAGTATAGTACAAGCTCTCTATAGTATAGTACAAGCTCTCTATTGTATAGTACAAGGTCTCTATAGTATAGTACAAGTTCTCTATAGTATAGTACAAGCTCTCTATAGTATAGTACAAGCTCTCTATAGTATAGTACAAGCTCTCTATTGTATAGTACAAGGTCTCTATAGAATAGTACAAGCTCTCTATGGTATAGTGCACGCTCTCTATAGTATAGTACAAGCTCTCTATAGTATAGTACAAGCTCTCTATAGTATAGTACAAGCTCTCTATAGTATATTACAAGCTCTCTATGGTATAGTACAAGCTCTCTATAGTATAGTACACGCTCTCTATAGTATAG